GGGTGGTTTTCAAACTGTGGCTCTCGCCTTAGCGCCGCGCACATTTGCTTTACACATCTGCAAGAGCTTCACAGATTGAGGGCGGGTCGTTTTCAAAATGAGGCTCTCGCCTTAGCGCCGCGCGCATTCGTTTAAATCAATTGTAGGAGTTTCGCGGATTGAGGGCGGGATGTTTGTAAACTTGGGCTCTCGACTAGCACCACGCACACTGGTTGATGCGTGGCGTTGGAGTCCCGAGACTAATGTTTTGGCATGCTTTATGGTCTTCAAACAGTTCTCTTCCAACGACTCAGTTCCCTCAATGGAAATGAACCGCTGTAAGGGCACCTGTAGAGTGAGCTTGGAGGGGGGGGGGTTATCCGAAACATCGTTGCTGACTCTTGGGCTTACACTGGATCCCCTCCACCTCCTCCTCCTCCTCCTCCTCCTCCTTCGCCCTCCTCCTTCCCCCTCCTCCTCCTCCTCCTCCTCCTCCTCCTCCTCTTCCTCCTTCCCCCTCCCCCTTCCCCCCCCTCCTTCCCCCTCCTCCTCCTCCTCCCCTCCTCCTCCTCCTCCTCCTCCTCCTCCTCCTCCTTCCTCCTCCTCCTTCCCCCTCCTCCTTCCCCCTCCTCCTCCTCCTCCTCCTCCTCCTCCCTCCTCCTCCTCCTCCTCCTCCTCCTCCTCCTCCTCCTCCTTCCTCCTCCCTCCTCCTTCCCTCCTTCCCCCTCCTTCCCCCTCCTTCCTCCTCCTCCTCCTCCTCCTCCTCCCTCCTCCTCCTCCTCCTCCTCTCCTCCTCCTCCTCCTCCTCCTCCTCCTCCTCCTCCTCCTCCTCCTCCTCCTCCCCCCTCCTCCTCCTCCTCCTCCTCCTCCTCCTCCTCCTCCTCCTCCTCCTCCTCCTCCTCCTCCTCCTCCTCCTCCTCCTCCTCCTCCTCCTCCTGCTCCTGCTCCTGCTCCTCCTCCTCCTCCTCCTCCTCCTCCTCCTCCTCCTCCTCCTCCTCCCCCTCCTCCTCCTGCTCTGCTCCTCCTTCTCCTCCTCCTCCTCCTCCTTCCCCCTCCTCCTCCTCCTCCCCTCCTCCTCCTCCTCCTCCTCCTCCTCCTCTCTCCTCCTCCTCCTCCTCCTCCTCCCCCTCCTCCTCCTTCCTTCCCCTCCTTCCCCCTCCTCCTCCTGCTCCTGCTCCTGCTCCTCCTCCTCCTCCCTCCTCCTTCCCCCCCCCCCTGACTTCCAAGATGGCCGCCGCCCTCGCCCCCCCCCCGCAGACCAGGGCCGAGGCGGCCCTCCCAGGGCCCATCCAGGCCAGTAGCTGCGCCCGGCCGAAGCCACGAGCCCCCCCCGCCCCGGGGACACCCCCGCAAGGGGACCCCCCCCCGAGGAGGCGGAAGAGCAAGGGGGAGGCGGGAGAAACAAGGGAGGAGGAGGAGGGACGAGGGCGAGGGCGAGGAGGAGGAGGAGGAGGAGGAGGAGGAGGAGGAGGAGGAGGAGGAGGAGGAGGAGGAGAAGGGGGGGAGGAGGAGGAGAAGGGGGGAGGAGGAGAGGGGCGGGGAGCAGGAGAAGGGCGGGGGAAAGAGGAGCAGCAGGGCTGAACGAGGGAGAGGAGGAGGAGGAGAGAGGAGGAGGAGGAGGAGGAGGAGGAGAAGGAGGAGGAGGGGCGGGGAGCAGGAGAAGGGCGGGGAAAGAGGAGCAGCAGGGCTGAACGAGGGAGAAGGAGGAGGAGAGGAGGAGGAGGAGGAGGAGGAGGAGGAGGAGGAGGAGGAGGAGCAGGAGGAGCAGGAGAGAGGAAGGGTGAGGAGGGGGAGCACTCCCCACACGACCCCTGGGACTGCACTGTAGCCTACCTCTCCTCCCTCGCGCTGTCCCCCCTTTTGCGTGCCGCCAGCCGAGCGACGAGCAAGAAACGAGGTGGTTTTCCTTTACGCGAGAGGGCAAGGCGGCTTCAAGCGGAACGTCTGCGCGGGCCGCTGGCGCGGAACGCCGCGCTGAGAAGAGGATCCTGAGCTCCGATGTTGCACACACACACACACATTCGCAACATCGCGAAAGAGAGACAGGCATGGTCGGGGGGGGGGGAACGCAGGCAGACGGCGACAAACGCGCATGCGGGAGGCCGGGGCTGGTGCCCGCCGACAAGTCTGGGTGGGGGGGGGGGGACAAGGGGGGAGCAGGAGCACAGATTGGAAGGGGACAGTGAGATCGGGGCAAAACCCTGAGATCCGACGTTGCAAACACATGCAACCTCGCCTTGCCGTCGCTCGGACGTCCATTTCCCGTGCATTGTTCGGTTTCGTGCGTATTTTTTTTTTGCTCGATGGTCCAGGATGGTCCTCGATGGTCCCCGCCGAGAAAAAATGCACACGTCCGAGCGATGCCAAGTCAAGTCCCTCAGCATATTTTTCACTACTCCTGCCCATTGGCTGGAGCTCCGGCCAAAGCGCCCGCTGTGAGAACGTCGCCGCGCTAGGATCGGCCGCGTCGCTCGAAGCTGCCCCTCCCTCGGCGGCTCCGAAGGGTGTGGTCTGCAGAGGGCGCGGCCTGTAGCATGCGTCTTGTGGGGGCGGGCGAGGGCCTCGACCGCGCCCAGTCGGCTCCAGCCGATGCTGTGCGTCGCTCGGCTCCTCCTCCCTCGGCGGGTGCCAGCGATGTGGTTTGCAAAGGATGCGGTTTGTAACCCGCGCCTTGGGGGGGTGGGCGGGGACTTCGACAGAGATATCGACCGCGCCTCGACGAGGGCTCATCGAACCTTTGGCGCACCGGGGTGACCTCTGGGCCCCAACGGCGCCGATCGTTAACCACACCCTGGCGTGACCATGTTTATTTAGAGGCCTCCCGGATGGGCTCGGAGTAGATGGGGTCGGAGGATCTCGCCGCATCGCCGATGCATCGGCGGCGTCGGCAATGCAGCGGCGACGTCCGCGTTGAGAAGATCGGGCTCCACATCGAGCCGTTTCGCCGATGCATCGGCGATGCGGCACGATCCTCTGACCCCATCTGCTCCGACCCCACTTGGGAAGCCTAGACGGGACGTCCCCCAGGATCAGATTTTTGACCGGAGCTGTTTCTGACAGTCCTGGGGGCCGTGGGGGGCCCCAGAAAGCCAAAAACAGAGGACAACCTCAGGACCTGTTTCGTTCAGGATCTAGGAACTAAGAAGCTTTCCCCAGGAACAGATTTTTACCCCGAGTCGTTCTCTGCCTGTCCAGAGGCCCGTGGAGGACCCAAGGAAGCCAAAAACGATGAAAAACCTCAGGGCGACGACGACGACGAGGACGACGACGAGGACGACGACGACGACCACAACTGTCGTGCAGATGTAAGACTCGGGTTCGGGGGACTCGGGTTGCAATAACGGGGCCGCCAAGAAAATGACGAGATCGCCTCATAAAATCTGGCGCGCCCTCCCGCTGGAAACAACGAAAAAGGGACCGTCAAAATCCAGAACGGGCTCGTCAAAAAGCGTAGGACTCATCCGCACCAGAAAACGATTGCATGATATTGTCGGCCACTTCGCTATGTGAAATTGCCCGTGATGTTGCAAGTGCGCCACATCGCTGCGCCTAATATCTTTTTGGAAGGGCGCACCTGGCGTGTGACTTGGTCGCCCGAGCGGGGTACGGACAAAGAGGTACGATGCCCAACAAATGTTGCCCAATACCGACACCGGACGATGTTGGGCAGGCGGCCTTCTGTCTCAAATGGACAACGTCCGCGGCGACACCGACAACGAGCCCTGTCCAATACGAACCAGAAATGCTGTCGGTCTTGTACCCATTCGTTCCGTGCCCATTTCGATCGTCTCGGCTAACGTTTCCCAGACGCCAGTGGTCGTGATTTTCTCACAACGTTGATCCCCAGAGGTCTGGACCCCTTCCCTGGGACTGGCTTTTCATCCGGAGTCGTTTTTTGACGGCCCCGGGCCCAGCAAGGGCCCCCGAAGCCCAACAAAAAGCAAACAAAAACATTTGTTCGACGCGTGGGCCCTGGAGGTCCAGACCACCTCCCCAGGACCGGTTATCGTCCTAAAGAATTGTTCGACGGTCCCGGGGCCTGGTGAGGGCCCCCAGAGGCCGAACATATTGAGAAACCTCCCGTCGGGATTTTTATGTTTTGTCACAGCGCGAGGCGGGTCTGGGCTTCCCCGACCCTGAGCTCGGACATTGCGACAAACATTGCAACGTCGCAAAAATCACGACCCTAGCTGCCCCCCGACCTATTTGGGCGCCCGAAATGGGTACGGAAAGAATGGGCACAGTGCCCAACAACAAATGTTGTCCCAAACCAACAGCGGCCGCTGTTGGGCAGGCGGCCTCCTGTCTCGAATGGGCATAGGCCGCGGCGGCGCGGACAGCGAGTCCTGTTCAGAATGAACAGGAACTGCTGTTGGGCATTGTGCCCGTTCTTTCCGTGCCCGTCCAGAACTGGGTTTAGTGGAACCTGGTTTAGTGATGTGTACTGGGGGAGGCCCCCCCGCCCCGTTCCACTAACCGGAGCTGCCGTCACCCGAAAAACATCAGCTACGGCAGACCTGGTTTAGGGATTCTTGCCAAATCAAGGGCCCCGGGGCCCTACCAACCGGATCCCCTTACGGGGGGTCCTGGCTATACCCGACCTACACTTCTGTATCACCCCTCGGGCCGGCTCGATCTGTGAGGGCCCTGGGGCCCGCCACGGGGCGTGAACGCCCGCTGGGAGAAGACCGAGTCGCCAGGATCTCGGTTGAGCAGGGACCGACCGCCCCAGAATTATTATAGTCCTATCACGCAGTGTTTCTAGAACCCAGAAATGTTCGAATAACGAAAACATAGGTCCCAGAACCTTACCCCGATGTGTTGAACCAAAGCACCCCCAATCAGAAATATTCTAAAAACATGTCGTGCAAAACACAAGAGGTTCTTAGAACATTCTTTGGTGGGCCTATAGCTATAAGCGAGCCAGGAGGACGACGTCACAGTCGCTCGGGGGAGGCTCGGAGGAGGCTCTTGACTGGAGGAGGAGCAGGAGGAGGAGGACGTCGATCGCCGCCTCCAGCCCGTGGGGCAGCCGGCCGCGCCTCAGCGGCGTGAGCCGCTCGCCGTAGCCCAGCAGCAGGGCGAGCGCCTCGCGGGGCAGGGCGAGCGCGCCGCTGAGGAAACCAGTGAGGAGGAGGAGGAGGACGAGGAGGAGGAGGAGGAGGAGGGAGGAGGAAGAGGAGGAGAGGAAGAGGATGAGGAGGAGAGGAGGATGAAGGAGGAGGGAGGAGGAGGAGGAGGAGGGAGGGACGAGGAGGAGAAAGAGGAGAGGAGGAGGAGGGGGGTCCGGACCTCTGGGGGTCGACGATGCGACAAACATCACGGCGTCGAGGGTCTGGCCTTCCTCGTCCTCCTCGTCCTCCTCCTCGTCCTCCCCCTCCTCCTCCTCTTCCCCCTCCTCTTCCTCCTCCTCCTCCTCCTGCTGCTCCTCCTCCCCTCCTCCTCCACAATTGCTCAATATGAATACTACTCTCCTCCTTCCCCTGATGACGGGTTGGGAGTGTTCGCCCCCCCCCCCCCCGCGTATTGTTTTTTACACACAGGATTCCCGGAAGATGGGCTTTCGCCTGCCTTTTTTTTCAAATTGCTGCTCTCGCTGGGGCGCCGGCCTCATTTTCGGGCCCCGCTCGTTCCGAATCGTGCTCCCGCTGCAGCGCTGGCCTCATTTCCGTGCTTCCGCTTGTTCCGAATCGTGCTCCCGCTGCAGCGCTGGCCTCATTTCCGCGCTTCCGCTCGTTCCGAATCGTGCTCCCGCGTCAGCGCTGGCGTCACTTCCTGTGCCATGCCACGGCATGCAATGCAATGTGAAGGAACCGCGACGGCTGGAACGTGAGCCGGGACGATCGAAATGGGCACGGAAATAATGGGTGCAAGACCGACATCAAGTCTTGCTCATTTGGGACAGGGCTCGCTGCCGGTGTCGCCGCGGACGTTGTCCATTTGACGGGCCGCCTGCCCAACTGCGTCCGCCGTCGGTTTTGGACAACATTTGTTGTTGGGCATCGTACTGCGTTTTCCGAACAGATTTCGGGCCCCCAAACCTGAAGACGCATCTCCCCTTTCTCCGACCTTGTCATGGCGGTGAGCGAGGGGGGAAGTGACAGGGGAAGGCCCTCTCAGAAGGCGGCGGCACTTCTCAGAAGCCCTCCCGCCTTCTGAGAAGTACGCTGTGCCTTCAGGTGAGGCTCAGACAAGTTTTCAGAAGGCGAGTGAGCTTTCGAGCGTTCTGAGGAGGCCCGCAGTCTCTTAACCCCCAAGGCTGGCCACCGATATACGCATCTGCACTTTCTCAGACCTTGTGCTGCACTCAACGCGACGGCCACGTTGTCTATAGACGGATCCACCCTTTATCCATGTGTACACGCAGGGCTGAACCTAAACGGTGTTTTTGGTTTTCGTTGTGTTTTCGTTTTCTCTCGTCTTGTCTTCGATTCGCCTTTAACGCAAAACGAAATCGAAACGAAAACGGCTCACGAAATCGCAAAAACACCGTTTAGGTCCACCCCTGTGTATACGTAGCGACACCCACTTTGTCTTAAGACGCTTGTGGCCAAAGCGTGAGAGCAATATCTGGAACAGGCCCCAGACCTCGGCCCTCCGGACGCACGTGGACTCGGCCCTCAAAGGCACACCGTACGCGCACGCACGAGCTCCTCGCCATCGCTCGGACGTCCATTCCCTGTGTTTTTTTAGGTCTCGTGCGTGTGGTTTTTTTCGCCAACTGATCAAGGATGCTCCTCGAAGGTCCTCGCCGAAGGAAACAGAAGCACACGTCCGAGCGATGCCAAGGCTCTGACCGCTCTGGGTCGGCGGCGCCCAGGGGCCTTGCGGGTTGGGCACGGAAAGGGCAGGCCTTCTCAAAAAGGGCTCGGAAGGCCTCCGCCCTCCTGAGAGGTTCGCCGAGCCTTCCCCGAAAGCCGCAGGGGGCTGCTCGGAATGCCAGGGGGCTTCTGCGAGGCCCCGCCGCCTTCCGAGAGGGCCTGCAGTCGGCCTTGATTGGACAGGGCACGCGAGAGAACACAAGACCCTTCCGAGGGACACATCGCCATAGGAGTATAAGAAGGCATGTGTCGCGAGGCACAGGACACAAGGGTACCCTTGAGCTGGCAGGGTCGACCTACTAATCCGGGCCAACTGTACTCCCTCTCACTTCCCCCGTCGGAGCGGCGCCGGCTGAACTTGCCGCCCACGAGCCAGAACCCTGCCGCCGCTCGGAGATTCAACGTGCGAAGCGCGCCCGCAAGGCAACTCCAGCCGGCATCCAGGCGGCTGCCTCGACGCACCGGAGAGATCCCAGGTTACATCGGCACGGTGACGTCACGCCAACCCAAACATGAGCAGCGCAACGATGTGGAAACCAACGCGGTGGTGGGCCAGTGACCCCGACCTCACAGTCTGCGCATTGCCCAAAAAGGGCGCTCACCCGGCCGCCTCGAGGGCCCCAACGAAGCCCCTTGGCCCCGGGGAGGAGGTTCGGAGTGGGGACACGATTCTTGTACGCCACCTCCTCGAACAAGCTGGTCCGGCACGAGACCGTGGAACATGTGAACCCTACCCCTACCCGCCACGATTTCTGAAGGGCAAGATGGGGTTCACTTCGCTCGGGAGCTCCCGAACGAAGTGAACCCCACCCTCCCCCTCAGAAATCGTGGGGGGTAGGGGCAGGGTTCACATGTGGCCCCCAAAAGGGGCTGTGTGTATAATAAAACAGGGCTAGGATCGGGATAAATCGCTCCAGAGCGTTCCGGAGCGCTCTCAGAGCGTTCCTGAACGCTCTGGAACGGCCGCGGCGCCCAATACATCCTCCAAACCCGCCGATTCTCAGAGATTTCGAGTTATCCCGATCCGATTTTGTCCCGATCTTCGCGTCGTTTTACATGTGGCCCCCTAAAGGGGCTGTGTGTATAAACACGGCATCCCTGTGGGGGCACGAGGCTCGCACAGCATCTCGTACAGAGAGGCCCGGCCCGGCACAGCGCGCGCGCGCGCGGGGGCGGTGGCCCTGCACCGGCCCCCGCGGGAAGGGGGAGGGGGAGGAGAGGAGGGGGGAGGGAAGGCCCTGCGTCCTCTCCGCGGCCCGTGCGATACGGCAGGTGCCGAGGACGAGGGGGAGGGCACGAGGGGAGGGGACGAGGGGGAGGGGAGGGGGCGAGGGGGGAGGGGACGAGGGGACGAGGGGACGAGGGGGGAGGGGATGGGGCGAGGGGAGGGGACCAGGGGGCGAGGGGGGGGGACCAGGGGGCGAGGGGGGGGAGGGGAGGGAGGGGGGAGGGACCGTGCGGTGCGGCGGGCACCAAGGACAAGGACGGGCCTTCCGCCCCGCCCCCCCCCCCGGGGGCCTGAGGGCAAGCCCCTTCGACCTCACCGCAGCCGTGCAGCACGACACCACGGCCGCCGAGGACGGGGAGGCCGCCCCCCCCCCGCGCCCAAGTTGAGGGACAAATCCCGGCGCCCCAACTGAGGGGCAACGATCGGGGGGGGGCTGGCACAGGGAGGGAAAAGCATCGACCCGGACTCGGCGATGCATCACCGATCGAGCGGCGGTGCGCCCCTGGCAGCGAATCCTGACCTTCCTGGTGGGCAGAGTGGGGCTATCAGACCCCTATCGGCGAGCACTGAGCTATTGGGGGTCTACGCATCCCCCCTATAATGCGGCAGGTTCGAGTCGTGCCAGCCCCGGCGTTTAAGACGAAGCCAAGACGAAGATACACTCGGGTGAGGATAAATCGAGAATATCAGAGAACCAGCGGCTCAGCAAAATTTATCGGGCGCCCCGGCCTTCTGAGAGCGCCCCGGAACGCTCTGAGAGCGTTCAGGAACGCCCTGGAACGGATTTGTCCTCGTCCTAGCCCCGTCCTGTCCGAGCGTTGGCTCCTGACACTGCCAGGATCGTCCAATATCTTGAACGATCGGTCGTTTCAAAAGTGGTCAGATCGTTCAATATCTTGAAAGATCGGTCTTTTCCAAATCGTCGGATCGTTCAAAATGAACCAATCTGGGTCGCCAGCGGCGTTCAACGCTCAACACCAGCGGGTGGGTCCTCGCCAGTCGGCTCGACGCGATCCTGCCGTAGCCGTGGCCAACTTGCCGACGGGCGCGGGCGCCGCTCTTCAGGCCCACCGCGGGGCGGGGGGCCTGGGCGGCAGCCAGCGCGCGAGCGGGAGAGAGCGACGGGGGGAGGGGGCAGGGAGGGCGAGAGGCAGAGCGAGAGGGAGAGGACAAGGGGCCGAGATGGAATCGGGCGGGTGGAAACGGGGAGTGGCCTCAGTGGAGGGTGAAGAGAAGCGCCCCTTTTGGAGTACTTTTGTTCACCTCCCACCCCTTGCCGTCGCTCGGACGTCCATTTCCCTCGCATTTGTCGGTTTCGTGCGTGTTCTTTTTTGCTCGATGGTCCAGGATGGTCCTCGATGGTCCTCGCCGAGAAAACATGCACACGTCCGAGCGATGCCAGGACCCCGCCCGGGGAAGGATCCCAGGCACCCTCGGGGAGCTGGGTGCTGGGGGCGTGGGCCCAGAGCCTGGGCTTGTTCTTGTTCCCAACCATCCTGCGGTGTTGGGTCCTCGCTTTGAAGAGACAGCGCCCCGCGTCCCACCTCCTCCTCTCCGTCTCCCCCTCCTTCCCTCCCATCATCATCATCATCATCATCATCATCATCATCATCATCATCATCATCATCATCATCATCAGCATCATCACCATCAGCATCAGCATCATCATCACCATCACCATCACCATCACCATCACAATCACCATCATCATCATCATCATCGTCGTCGTCGTCACCATCATCATCATATTCATCATCATCATCATCATCATCATCATCATCATCATCATCATCATCATCATCATCATCATCATCATCATCATCACCATCGCCATCATCATCATCATCATCGTCATCGTCATGGTCGTCACCATCATCATCATCATCATCATCGTCATCATCATCATCATCATCATCATCATCATCATCATCACCGTCATCATCGTCACAATCATCGTCACCATCATCATCATCCTCCCCTTCCCGTCCCACACCATCGTCACCATGGGTCAGAGTCAAGGCGAAGGCCTGGGACGAAGGGGGGGCACGAGGGGCGAGCGCTGGGGCGGAACTGGCTCCGCGATGTCGCAGCGCAGCGCTGATGCCGGTGATCTTTTGAGGTGGTGCCTGTCGTCGTCGCCGTGGGAGACCTCAAATGACGCGTATGCCCAGCTTGTTCTGAGAGGGTGGGTCTCGCAGTCACAGTTCTGCCCATGCTGATCGCAGCCGTTCGCCTGCTGCGTCGTCCTCGACACGCTGCAAGCTCGCAGCGTACATGCTGTACGTCGTATTGGTGTATGTAGGCGATGCTTGAGCTTGTGTAGCTGCATGATCGTACCATGTGAGCTCGATTAGTAGGTCTCGACGTAGTGTTTGGTCCTGGCACAGTGTATTGGATGTGGCAAAAGCGTTGTGGGTGGGTAGGTCTGTGGGTGGCCAGACTTACAAAAAGCGGCACGGGCATCCTCGCAGCTGTCCTGTGGTATCAACGTTCTCGTACACCTTGTTTGCCGAGGGCCGTCAGCACCTGCCGTGGATGTAGTGATGGCATGCTGAAGGGTGATGTGGAGTGATGGACATGTGCGTTCGCCTAGGTAGCCGACCAAAACATGTACTTGCAACACGCGGTTCCCTTGCAAACTCACCCAAGACGGTTTGTAACGTGTGTCCGGGTGATGGCCATTTCGTTGTCCTTGTCGTCGTCGTCGTCCTTGATCTTCATAGGAATTCCGTCGTAGTGCCCCACGTTGTCGTATTTGTCGTCCTTCCCTCGATCTTCGTCTTTGCTCCTCCTCCTCCTCCTCCTTCTCCTGGGTAGACGGAGCGTCGCGCGAAAGAGCCGGAAACATCGATTTGGCAAAAGGACCAACCCTCCCGACATTCCCAAAGAGGCCTACCACGAAGTGCTCTTAGAACCGAAAGATGGCTTCATGACACAAGGAAAAACATACAGCAAATTTAGCAAACCAAAAACGGACTCCACAAGAAATGTGCTGCAAACTTGTCGTTCAAACCACACGCTGTTCTTGAAACATTCCTTTTGCTGGGCCTACAGGCAAGCCAGGGCATATCGCCAATGCTTGAGCGACGGGCGGCGCCTGCAGCGACTCGCTCGGCTCTGGCGCTGGCCGGTCGTACAGGAGGCCGCCATCGAAGCACCCGAGCCCCGCGTCACGCTCGCACATGAGCCGCTGCTTGGCCGACAAGACCTGTGGCCGGTGAGACGGGGTAGAGCTACGGTGATGACATTGGCAGGGTCTGGAAGCCGGTGGAAAGCCAATGGTGGAACGGCCACGGATATCACCGCCGCCCTCATCAGATACGGAACCCTCCATGGTCTGAAGCCTCCTGGGCACTAGGGGAACAAACAATGACATAGACGTAACAACTCGGAGGTCCGCGCGGAGTTCTAACCCCCCTCCCTGGCGCGCGGAGCGCGCCAGGGGCGGCGCCGGAAGCGCAGCCAGGGGGCCCCAGCGCCGATCCGAGAAATCCGCGCGGACCTCCGAGTTCTATGTTTATGCCATTGTTTGTTCCCCTAGGCCCTAGGCACATTCCTTAAGGAACGCCCCGACCGTACGTGTTCTACCTTTGGGCCCATGCAGGAACAAACGATCACACAAACTTACGGCGGGCGTGTCCCCCTACAAGGGGATTTTCGACGAAAAAAAAAGAAAAATTCGCCGGCCCAACGGGCCAGGGCGTGCTAAGATCTCCGGTAACTGGTTAACAGTATTAACAGTGTTTCTAGTTCGCGCGCGCGGGGCGGCCCCTGGGGGTCCCCCGGCGAAAAGTACCCCGACCAACGCCCGACCGCCGCCCGACCGCCGCCCGACCAAGTCTACTCAGAGATGGTTTTCCTTCTGGGTGCGGCCTCTCAGGCTCCCCAGAGCGCGCTCAGAGTGCCCCAAGAGGCCCCCAAGACTGCCCAAGAGGCCCCCGAGACGCCCAAAGAGCGCTCGAAGACGCCGAAGATGACCCCAAGACGGCCCAAAAGGCCCCCAAGACAGCCCAAGAGGCCTCCAAGACGCCCCAAGAGCCTTCCAAGAGGCCTCCGAAGAGAGCCCCAAGAGGCCAAAATCGTTGATTTTCATTGTTTTTTTCTATGTTTTTTGTGTTCTGGCTTTTTCGGCTTCCGGACGCTCCAAGACGGCCCAAGAGGCCCCCAAGACCGCTCCAAGACGGCCCACGAAGCTCCCAAGACGGCGCCGAAACGACCCAAGAGAGCCCTCAAGACGGCCCAAGTGCCGCCCAAGACGGACCAAGAGGCCCCAAGACGGGCCCAAGAGGGACTCAGGAGGGATACCGAGAACTCAAAAATGGAGCCCTCCGTCCCAGAAGGCGCCCAGGAGGTCCCAAAGAGGCCCCAAGAGGCCTCCAAGAGGCCCCAAGATGTCGCCAAGAGGCCCCAGGAGACTCCCAGGAGGCCCAAAAGAAGCCCCAGAAGGCTTCAAACATGTCTCCCAGGCGCCCCCGAACGGCCTCTCAACAGACCCCAAGAGGCCCCCCAAAGAAGCATCTTGACGACGACTCTATTTCGCCCCATCGAGAGACGACCCCCAGGGAACTGCTTCACCATCAAAACTCCCCACGCAACGCGTCCGAACGACACCCGCCCCCAAGAGCGCAACATGGGCAACGAACACACAGACAAAAACCAGCGATGCCATATCACGGGCCGGCGGAATGAGCGAAGCGATTCAATACCCCAAACATAATCAAACACATAGTCCAAACATAGTCAGGGGACATTTTTTGAGTATGTTGTTGTCTCTTTAGGGCATGTTTGGGATATTCATTATTTTTCGTCGAAACCCCTCCTGTAAAGGGGACACGCCCGACATAATGGTAAGGGCCGCCGCAAGCCGCAGATGTAGGAGAACCTCCCGTCGTGACTCTCGTCACCACGCGAGGGGGGGTCTGGGTTGTCTCTCGGGCCGGGCGAAAGGGGGGGGATAGCAAAGGAGGGGGGGCTGGAGAATCCTCTCGCGTGGCTGACTTTCCCGACTTGAAACATAAACAGAACCGCTCGGAGCTCCGCGCGGGCTCCCCCGGGGTCGGCGCTGGGCGCCTCTGGCGCCGCCGACCCGCGCGCGCCCGGGAGCGGGCTCCAGCGCCGATGGCGAGCACCCTGCGCGGAGCTCCGAGCGTCGATATGCTCCTTCGGCGGTGGGAAGCATGGGTCGCGAGGCACAGGACACACAAGGGTACCCTTGGTTTTTGGCAGGGTCGACCAACGAACCTGGGCCGACTGTACAAAACAACGGCGTCCCACCGCAAGCAGTCGTGTGAGGCTCCAGGCCCGAGGCCCCGCCCGAAGTCGGCGGTGGACAAGCCTCCCTTTAGTAGACCTCCCCTTAGCGAAAACGGCCTGGGGCCGAAACCGACGGACCTGGACCCGCAAAAATGGCGGCCGCGACGCCCTCTCGCGAACCGAAAACGGCCAATTCCTTAATCGACGTGTCAGGGTAGGAGGTCTGTCCACCCCCGAATCCTGCCAGTCTTCGCTCACCTGCTCTTGCTTGCCCGCTGGCCCTGGGCGGTCTTCCATCGGCGGTCTTCGAACGATCGTCAGCGGTGTTCCGTGGTCTTCGGAGGGCTTCCGGCGGCCTCCTGGCGGTCTTCGGCGGGCTGTGGCGGTCCTCGGTGGCTTCCAGCGGTCTCCGGCGCAAAAACAGGATACCTGCTTTCAACAAGGGTCCCATGATCAAACACTGCAAAGAAAGGCGCAAGAGCTACAGGGATGCCAGAGAATCCAGAGGGTGCGTGACAAGAAGGAACCTCGGGCTGCCACTGACCCGGGCCACATGCAAACACAGGTCAGTCGGGCTTGCCAAGCCAGTACGATCCTGCAGGATCATGCGGGATCCTGCGCGCTAGCCCGGGTCAATGCAACCCTGGCTTGGCAGGATCCTGCAACATCCGGCGCTCTGGCTGACCCCCGATGGCGTTGACCCCCTTCCCAAGGCACCCGAGAAGCGGGGGCTCCGAGGGAAACGGGTCCAGGAGAACCGGGGCCACTTTCTCATCCCTTGTCCTTCGTTGCCGGCCCATGTCGGCGCAGAACTGCGGGGCCTCTCTCTCACGCGGGGCCCGTGCGGGCAGTACTTGTGTCCATACGGTAATCCGGTTCTCGCGGCGTCGGCACGCGCCAACGTTTTTGACACCGCGTCGATCGTTCAACCTTGAATCGAACGTGGCCCCGACCGTTCAAGATTCGATTGCGTCGGGTCCCTTGGCGTCACCATGTGCCTCGGTGCTTCCGCGCCACACGATTCAGTCCTGAACGCCTTCGCTGGCGTCGCAGACGCGCCAACGCCGCATGAACTCACCGGAAGACTTGCAAGAGTCTGTCCGCCAGTCGGAAGAAGTAGGTGGAGACAGACAGCAGGAAGGCGGATCTAGTAGATTGGGTTAGGGCCCGCTCACAGCTAACAAAGCAACAAACATCCATCGGTTCTTGAAGTAGGAAGTCGGTTGAACTATACTGGGATCTGGATGTCTAAATATACATATTTTCGACGACCAGCATGACGCCGCCAATTCGACGATACGGTGGGTTCGCGCGGAGACGGCGTGCTCCAAAGATTTTGACCTCGCGTCGATCGTTAAACCTTGAATCGATTGCGACCCCGATCGTTCAAAATCTAATTCCGTCGGGTCCTGTAGCGTAACCAAGCCCCTCAAACGCCCCCTTTCCAACTGTGCGCCTCGGAAACCTCGGGTTCTTCCCGGACCCGCGTCCGTCAAAAAGCGGCTCGGGATGGAAACAGCATCTCCCCCAAAAGGCCCCGGGGTCTACGACCCGTTCTGCTCAGGAACCCCTTCACGTCTTTTCCTTCATGCCAGAAGAAAGGTGGAGGGTAGAGGACGGGGTATGGCGGGCGGTAGGAAGTGTAAGACGCAGGAGGAATGTAAGCGGACGAGGACATGCAAATTTATAGAAGTCGGTCAAGGCGACAGGTCGCCCATATCGGAAAGGTAACCGCATGCCCGCGATGATAAAGCATCCTCCCTTAACCCCTGAGCCATGATTATCCATGGGATACATATATGTTTTAATAGGCGGGCGGAGCGGCGAGGCCGAACTTTATCAACAGCAGGGGACGTACGAATCGTACATTGAACAATCTTATCATGACTATCTTTTTTTTATTGATCATCATCAGCATCCTTTGTCATCACCACCCTCTCGTAGACCCCCATTCTGGCACATCCCTCACACGGCTCGTGGCCGCATGTGGTGCCCCAGTGCTATGCCTGCTATGTCGCGGTGAGCGTGAGATGTCTCTCCCTCCCCATCCCTCCCTCCGCGCCCCAGCAGAAATTGTTGTTTATTGTTATCTTTGGATCTCACTCCCAGAAGAGCAGCCCTGAATACTCTACACGACGGGTAGAACACCACCAACAGTCATGTAGTTTTGCACATCGAATTCGACAGGCCCGAAACTTTGATGTGTATTGAAATCTCCTCCTTCTACTCCCCCATCCCTTCCTTCCTCCCTCCGCGCCCCAATGGATCTTCTGTATCGCCGTCATTGATTACCAACCCCAAAGAGCAACCATGAGTACTCTCACTCGACGATGTAGAACATAACCATAGAAATCGGATAGATTTCCCGCCCCATCCAGGGAAGGCCCCGCCAGAACCAAGAGCGAGGAGGACTTCTCAAGCTTCGTGCTCCTAAATCCGTCCATCGTACACGCCTACATGCGACTTGCCGGGGAAATCTTCCATTATCCCCCAGGGCCCCGAACTTTCTCATCCCCGTGGTGTGGTTATCACCGGCACAGGGTTCAGGAAGTCTTACCATTCATTCATGTTCTGGGACAAAAGACTGGTCCTCAACGAATCTGCGCGCTCAACGCATGGTAAACCTCGCATCTGCATCTTCAGCCAGGCATCCTGGCTAGAACACCCGCGGCGTGAGGGAACCCAGAAGCTCTGCCAAGCGGGGACGCCTTCCGCCCAAATCCTTGCTCCCTGATTTTGATATGTGCGACGCAAATAAAAAAACGAGGCCCACCTTAGATGGCACATGTCCCGTCTTCGAAAGCATCCCGGTTCCAATATCGATGACCTTTCATGACTAGAAAACCAGGCACCACTGAACAGGGCTCAACGTGGCAAACGACGGAGCAATCGCAGATCAAGGATGACCATCGAGTACTCCTCCACGACCTGCGCGCAATGATGAGCCTGCGCGAGAGAAAGACAATCCAGAGCATGACAGCGGCTTAAGGAAGAGTGCTGAATTATTGCGGTAGGATGCATGCTCGGGCGAACACCATATCGATTTGCAGTGCCCAGGAGTCTCCTGACTGGACAAGCGACTCAAAACTTGCAAGGCTCTGCGGGCGACAACCCATTGCCAAAAAACACACATCGCATGAGAGTGTGTACACGCATGTTCTTTCACACCTGAATATCCCTATGAATGTGTATATGTATATATGTATCCATATGTATATGTATGTATCGTTACATACACTTGTAACTAGGTTTATCCATACACACATTGTACGTTTAGACAAGGAGGAGAAAGTGAGAGAGAGAGAGAGAGATGCGTGTATATAATTTCGGTTGCGTTACATGCGGGAATTCGCACAATGGCACAGGTCATGCAAGATACGTCAACAGAGCCAAAACGCTGACAACCCCGCATTGCGCCCGCACCGCGGATCTTGCTCGAAGCAGCTCTGAGCCCCTCCACGCAGCTTGATGGCGGTGGCGCGCCTCTAGCTACTCCACATGACTCCGACGTACATTCGATTGCGCTGGTGTGTGTATGGCTTTTCCAGTGCCCCGTTTGCAAGCCAATTGCATGCCCATGTCTGCACCTTGAGAGGTGTGCTATCAAAACGTGTTAAAGTGTGTGTGTGTGTGTGCGCGCCCCAACAGCACTCCAACGGCATGTGCAAAACAAACGTTTCGCTCGGAACATCCTCTCATTTGAAGTCGCCAGCCCTCTTCGACCTCGTCATTTATCGCAAAATAACTCGCTGGCCTTTTTCGAACTTGACGAAAAACCATACAAAATGACCTCGCGGCTAAATCTGGATCATGCGCGGCCACCGCGCGATTGCCGCCAAATAGTTTTCGACAGGGGCGCCGGGGGGTGGTGGCGTATGGCCTGCTGTGCGCACGCCCACCAGACACAATGATGGGCTCTGGTTTTCGACAAGGATAGTGGGGCACACATGTTTCCGATGTTTGCAATCACGTGTGCGGGCGAACCTGACACACCCTGCGCGTGCCCCGAACCTGGCGCACCTGGCGCGGCTGGAGTATGCGGCACACGCGGAGGCACGTGGCGCATCTGGCGCATCAGGCGTGCCTGGCACGCTCGGGCCCCAGGGGTGTCTGGCGCGCGTGGCGCGCCTGGCACGCGAGGTGCACCTCGCCCCAACGTCACGCACATGGGCTCGGTTCTGGTTCCCAGTAGCTGTCCTTCCAAAGACGACCGCTGAACATGCTGAGGCTCGGGTGTTACTTATGTGTTGGGAGGGCGAGTGGGAGTGAGCTAGACAGCTTGCTATCTGGGAGGGTCGCATGATCACTGATCCCTATTAATACTAAAACCATGGCGCGCACTTCGCGCGCGCTCAAGTTTGAGCTAGGCTTGATAGGCTAACTCATGTTATCTCATTTTGGTCGCTGCTTGCCTCCATGGACTCCCTTGGAGGCCCTGCGGAAGCCTCGGAATCGTACAGAAGGGGAAACGCGGAAACGCAGAAATCATATGTTTTCTTTAGGTATTCAACGATTTGGGGCCCTCAAAGGCTTCCTGGATTCTTTTTTTGGAGGTGAGGGGGGTCTGAATTGTGGTCTGCTGTGCAAGACCGGGGGCCAAACTTGAACATGATCGACCCACGAACCCGGAAAGGAATATAGACATGTAAGGCATGGCAACGTTTCAAAGACACCTGATTGGGCGAAGGGCGAACGCAATGCTGAATGCATCGATCTTGATGTACCGTGTCGAAGGCTGTGCTGTGCATCGCCGTGCTGCATTGCGATATGCCATGCCGCGATTGTGCTCCATAGCGTTGCGGATCGAGTCCTCCTTTGCATCCGAGTCCTGACCGAACTGATCTGGATCTTAAACTCGAGCTGCCTCAGCACATAGTAGCTGCCCCAGAGCTAGTTGACAGGAAAACATGCCAGGAGGACGCGCCGCGGAACATCCCAAGGGACGAGCCAGGCGACGTGCCAAGGGACGTGCCACGAAGACCCACCGCGGGACGTGCCGAGGGGACGCGTTACGGAACGTGCCAATAGACGTGCCACGGGACGTGCCAAGGGACGCGCCGAGCGACGTGCCAGGGGGACTCACCATGGGACGCGACACGGAACGTGCCAGGTTGCAATGCTGAGTGTATCGATCTTGATGTACCGTGCCGAGGACTGTGCTGTGCTGCGCTGTGCTGAACTGCGATATGCCATGCCGCGATTGTGCTCTACAGCGTTGTGGATCGAGTCCTCCTTTGCATTCGAGTCCTGACCGAACTGATCTGGAGGCGTCCTGGAGGCCTGGAGAGCCGTCGGAAGGATGTCGCGGGCTGCGCGGGGGCGTGTTGGGCCGTTCTTTACGTTCTGGGGGCTCCTTGGGGTCTTCATGGGCTGTCCTTCGGCGACTTGGGGTCTCCCCCCGGGAAGCCGGGAGGCGCAGTACCGGCCAGATGTCAAGGGATGTGTAAGACCCCCGAGTAGGAGTCCCACTTTGAAAACATGATCGACCCACGAACCCGGAAAGGAAACCCATGAACACCTGATTGGGCGACGGGCAAATACAATCCTTAGTGTATCGATCTTGATGTACCGTACCGAGGGCTGTGCTGTGCGGCGCCGTGCAGCATTGCGATGTGCCATGCCACGATTGTACTCTATAGCGTTGTGGATCGAGTCCTGATTTGTATCCGAGTCCTGACCGAACTGATCTGGATCTGAAGCTCGAGCTGCCTCAGCACATAGTAGCTGCCCCAGAGCTAATTCACATGGGAACATGCCAGGAGGACGCGCCGCGGAACGTCCTAAGGGACGCGCAAGGCGACGTGCCAGGGGACGTGCCACGGGGACGCACCGCGGGACGTGCCGAGGGGACGCGTTACAGAACGTGCCAATGGACGTACCACGGGACGTCCCAGGGCCACGATCCCTCGTAAATTACATTGGGGGGGTTGCGCTTCCAAAGCCCCGACCCCTTGTAAATTACGCTGCGTCCGCGCTCCCAGGGCCACGATCCCTAGTAAATTACGCTGCGTCCGAGCCCCAGGGCCGCGATCCCTTGTATTTTATACTGCCCCCGCGCTCCAAGGGCTACGATCCCTCGAAAATCACATTGCGTCCGAGCTCCCAAGGCCCCGACCCCTCGAAAATTACGCTGCGCCCGCGCTCCAAGGGCCACGATCCCTCGCAAATTACGCGTGGTCCGCGCTCCAAGCGCCACGATCCCTCGTAGGTTACGCCGCGTCCGCGCTCCCAGGGCCTCCTGGGGCATGCTGGGGCGCCCAGGTCCCTCAAGTTTTGCAAAACAAGCGTTTCGTTTGAGGATTCTGCTGAACATGCCGCACACCCTCTTTTTCACGAATGAAGCCGGTGGTCCGCGGACGGGGCATTTATCGAGGATCAGCCACGCCGCGCACAGGAAGGGGAGGCGGAGGAGGCGACGGATGAGAAGGCAAAAGCGGAGGAGGAAGACACGGAGAGACAGAGAGAGAGAGGGACGGGGCGGCTGCGTGCCGCCGCCTGCGAGCCGGCCTGGGCCACCCGGGCCACCTGGCCCCAGTGCTCGGCGAGGCCGTCGAGCACCTGCCGCGGGCGCTGGCCTCCTCCTCCCTCCCTCCCTCCTCGATCGCCCTCCCTCCATCCTTCCCTCACTCCACCTCCTCCTCATCTTACTCCTCCATCCCTCCCTCCCTCCCTCCCTTCCCATTATTCTCCCTGCTTCCCACCCGCCTGCCTCGTCCTCCCTCCTCCCTCCTCCTCCTCGTCCTCCTCCTGCTTCCTCCTCCTCCTGTTTCCTCATCCCTCCTCCCTCCTCCCCCCTCCTCCTCCTCCTCCTCCTCCTCCTCCTCCTCCTCCCTCCTCCTCCTCCTCCTCCTCCTCCTCCTCCTCCTCCCCTCCTCCCCCTCCTCCTCCTCCTCCCCCTCCCCCCCCTCCCTCCCTCCCTCTCTCCCCCTCCCTCCCTCCCTCCCTCCCTCCCTCCCATCCCTCCCTCCCTCCCTCCCTCCCTCCCTCCTCCCCACTTGCCCTTCCTCCTCCTCCTCCTCCCCCCCCCCCTCCGCCTGCCGTGCAGTGCGGGCCGCTGGGCCGCCCATGGCACGAGCGCCAGGTGAGGGGGGACAGGATGCCCCGTGCGCACTGCGGAGGCGGGAGACGGGGTGCTCCCGAGGCGGGGTGCCTCCGTCGCCTCCGCCGTGCTGCCGCCCCCCGCTTTTCTACAGTCGGACTCGATTGGAGAGGACACGCGAGAGGACAAAGACCCTTCCGAGGGCCACGTTGCCACAGAAAAGCAGGAGGCATGGGTCGCAAGACACAGGCCACGAGGGCACCCTTGATCTGGCAAGGTCGACCTACTAATCTGGGCCGACTCTAGCCGGAACAAGCAGCGGCATGAACTCAGAAACTCTCGGAGATCCGCGCGGCCTTCTCAGATCGGCGCCGGCACCCGCCTCCCTGGCGCGCCGGGGCGCGCAAAGCGGCGGCGCCAGAGGCGCCGCCAGGGGGGGCTCCAGCGCAGATCCAAGAAATCTGCGCGGGCCTCCGAATGTGTAAGTTTATGCCATTGGTTGCTCCCCCCTTCTCGCTCCCCCACTTGTCCCTGGACCCGCCCGCAGCGTCAGCCTCAACGGGGTCATGTTTCTCCTGCTGCTGCTGCTGCTCCTCCTCCTCCTCCTCCTCCTCCTCCTCCTCGCCAGGGTCCCTGTCCGAGCCCACTCGTCGCCTGAGCCCGCTTGGCTGCCAGATGGGCAGCCGAATGCGCAGGTTCGGTTCAAGAATGCTGCTGGGGATAGGTTCATTTTTCGTCGAAAATCCCCCTGTAGGGGGACAGGCCCGACCTTCGTCCCCTTCGGGGAGGGGTTTACCCCTCCCCCTACCCCCTCCCCACTGACCTGGACAGGGGGGGCGGGGAGCGGTCAGAGGTCAATCCGCTCAGAATCAATCCCTGGACCCCTCCCGGGGTCTCTCTGGCGCCATGTCTCACCCCAGGTCCGTGCTGGGCGGTCCCTGGCACTGGTCCCTGGGCCCTGGAGCGGCCACCGAGGGCCGCAGAAGACCAAGACCTGTAACCCGAGCCCAGAACCTCGAGCCTGCCCCCCGTTCCTGCTGGCCTTTCGTCGAAAGTCCCCCTACAGGGGGACCTTCGACGAAAAATAAAAAAAAATACCCCCAAAATAATCCCCAGACTATTTTTGGACGATGTTTTGACTATGTTTGGGGTCTTCTTTATTATCTTGCACAGCTGTGCTCTAGAGCTCGGACATCTTTATTTTCGTGTCGTTCGTCGTTCGTGTCGTTCGTCCCCCTGGCCCTGGTCGCCCCCCTGGCCCTGGCCCTCACCCCCCCCTGCCCCGCGTCCAGGCATCCCAGGGCAGCCCGTCCAGGCTTCCCAGGGCAGCCCCCCTGGGCCACGGAACCCTTTATTTTCGTGTCGTTCGTCGTTCGTGTCGTTCGTCCCCCTGGCCCTGGTCGCCCCCTGGCCCTGGCCCTCACCCCCCCCTGCCCCGCGTCCAGGCATCCCAGGGCAGCCCGTCCAGGCTTCCCAGGGCAGCCCCCCTAGGCCACGGAACCCTTTATTTTCGTGTCGTTCGTCGTTCGTGTCGTTCGTCCCCCTGGCCCTGGTCGTCCCCCTGGCCCTGGCCCGCACCCCCCCCTGCCTCCCATCCAGTCCAGCCTTCCCAGAGCAGCCCGTCCAGGCTTCCCAGGGCAGCCCCCCTGGGCCACGGAACCTTTTATTTTCCCCCTCGCCCCCCCCCCTCGCCCAGGCTTCCCAGGGCAGCCCCCCTGAGCCTCGGACACCTTTGTGCAAGAGCCAGGGCACGCGTGCCACTTGTTTTTCGTCGAACATCCCCCTGTAGGGGGACAGGCCCGACTTAATGCTGGCCAAAGCCAGTGATGGGCCACCTCAGAACCCCAGACGGCTCCAACCCCAGGATGCTCCCCGCGCCCATGGCCAGTGGCCAGCAGACGATCGCCCCCCACCACAAGGGGGGCGACCCAACAATCCATCAATCTGTGCAGGCTCTCGCGCAGAAGATGACTGCACTCGGCGCGGCGGGCGCGGCTTTCCCCGGGGAGCGCAACTCACGCCCCCCCCCTTCGCTTTCGAACCAACAGCAGCTACCAGGACCCTTTTTCTCTTAAATGCTTCCCCTCCTCCTCCTCCTCCTCCTCCTCCTCCTCCTCCTCCTCCTCCTCCTCCCTCCTCCTCCCCCAGGGGGTTGGAGGCTGCCTGACCGCTTTGGGGCTAGCATTAAGCGACCTGGGCGATGGTAGAACCAGGCGTCCGCGTCGACCCGACAGGAGCCAGCCGCGCTGGGAGAGTGGCCAGTCTTTGCCAGGAAGCTCGGCAGAGGGCCGCTGCGTCACAGACACGGCTCGCTGCGAAAAGTCCAGGGCCTTGCGGGAGGGATCTGGGACGCTGAGTCATCGCAAGCTGTTGAACAGCGCGTCTTGGCTTACCCTCCGCCCTGCATCCCCCGGCGCGGTGGCGAAGAAGGGCGGCTGCGATATGGCAACATTTGTGGTACCAACCTATCCTTCGGAGGCGGCTGGGGGGTCGTTGCTGAATGGACCGTGAGAAAATCGGCAGAGACGCGGGGAGAAGGCCACATACTTTCAAAATCTATACCAGGACCCCTCCTGGGGCCCATCTGGGGAACTTTCTTTTCACCCTGGATCAGCTGTTCACGGCCCAGGGGACCGAAAACAACCCGCGGAGACCGAAACAACTTGAAAACCTTCGCGAACCCATAACCTCGAATCTCCCTTCCTGCTGGCCGAAAACGATTCTGGGCCACCCCCAGCCGGTTCTAACTCGTGCCCATCCTCTGCTCCCCCTGATCTCTCATGAGGCACCGGATTCGGTAGCGGCCACTCCGAAACCACCTCGCGCGGGCCTTGCTGGAGCACGCGGTGCATGACCACCAGTCCGCGGAAAGCCACCGCCTCGGTAACAGAGGACAGGGGAAAAGAAGAGAGGCGGGGGAAAGAAGGCGAACAAAGGGGGGTCATCGACACTGATCCGCTGGCCCCACGGGCCAACGGCGTGCTAGAATCTCCGGCAAGAGGTTACGAATACTGCTATTCTGGCCATCGCTCGGACGTACATCTCCTGTTTTTTTTTTGGGGGGGGGGTCGTGCGTGGTTTTCTCGCCAAATGATCAAGGATGCTCCTCGATGGTCCTCGCCGACGGAAAAATGCACACGTCCGAGCGATGCCAAGTATTTACGAAATTGCGCACGCACGACGGTCCCAGGGGGCCCCCAGAAACAAAAAAAAAAAAAACCTCGGCACGGCCCCTGGAACTCCGTGGCAGAGTGCCGAGAAACCTCTGGCAAGGTCGGGTCAGAACTGGCAACAAAAACTACCTCGGCACGGCCCGCGGAACTCCGTGGCAGAGTGCTGCGAAACCTCTGGCAGGGTCGGGCCAGAACTGGTTTCGCTTCTGGGTGCGGTCTTCGGGCCCTGCCGGGCGCCTCAAGCGGGCTCCACGAGCGCCCAAGGGCGGCCCAGGACAAGCCTGGCGATGCTCCCACGACAGCCGAGGCGGCTGAAGATGGTCGAAGACAGCCCCCGAGATTGGGGCGCACAGAGACGTACTAGTACTGCATGTTCTCCTTGGCGGCGCGCGTCCGACCCGAGTATGATATAGTATACCCATCTTGTGGTATTATCCTTTCCCGAGCGGTGTGGCCAGAAAGCGCCCGACACGAAGCATATACTATAAGATTTCTCGGTGCGCGCGTCGCCCCTGGGTGGGCGCCGCACATATAGTATAAGTAACGTGGGGTGACGCCGAGAGATGGCCCTCAGAGGCCAACAGCCTAAAGATGCAACAGGAACCAACAGAGTGAACGGCACGCTTGAAATATGAAAACCATCTTCCCTGCAGGCAGCGCCAGCACTGGAAGTCCAGGAGCAACGCAGCCTCGGCAAAATTTGCGCAGGCTGTTGTACTCGCTGTCTGCCCGAGTTCGTCTCGTCCGTGAACTGTGCGAGTCCGTGGGCGGTGGTCCATCTCTGCGGCGCAACACCCTGATCTCGTCGGTTGTCAAAGGGGCCAAGTAGTTTTCTTATCGTAACGTAATCGACGCTGTGCGAGAATACGCCAACATCAAATCGAATCGGATGCGGAAAAGGTGTCGAGAGGCGCAATGATGCTGTAGTTCCTGAAGAATCCTGCAACCACACGTCCTCAAAGCGCGGAATCGAGACTTGCCCAGGCAAGGCCCGCACAAGGGAAACGCAACTTCATTTTGCGCTCATCGGCCGCGAATCGACCTGTGATGGAAAAAAGTGGACGATTAAGCGACATTGTGGCGAATGACCGAAGAAAGAAACTAAGCCGAAACGGAGACCATGAGACATTACTCGTACATGCCACAATAATGACGATCTATCAGGATGACGGAGAAGCGAGAATACAGGAGAGAGACGATCTATCAGAATGAGGGATATGACGACGACGATGACAAACACAGGGCAAAGGGAAACGCGAGAGGGGAAGGACGACAAGGAAGAAGCGGTGATGTCTGTCCATGTTATTTTACGCATGTGTCATCAGGCGTGTCTGTTGGAAAAACTACACAGGCAGACGGCTGCAACTGTTGAATTATCACAACTTCGCAGATGGTGCCAACTTCCACACGCTCTGGATTGCTGATACGCCTTCATGGCACTCGTACACAACGGCCGTATCCATTGGAGTGAGGCCATCTTTGCTCTTCGCGTCCAAGCTCGCACCGGCTGCCTGGAGCGCGCGCAAAATCTCTTGCCGCTGGACGCTGGGCGATGCATGTAGGTGGACAAGTCGGGCGTCCGGCTTGTAGACGGACGAGTGGAGAGGCGTCCAGCCGTTCTTGCAGCCTGCGTTGGCGGCCTGCCGTAACGACTCCTGTCCAGTCTTCGCGACAGCATCCAGCACAGCGCCTCGGAGCCAACCGATCGGCGTCGCGAGCCATGTTGTGCGATTTTGCGTTCAACCGATCAACCAAATCTCCTCCCACGACTACGCACTCCCAATCCCATCCCTCCTGGAAACATCTCGAGGTCGCTTTCGGTGTGTCGTGCTCATGCCTTGCTCTTAACTCGCAACATCGTACTTAACTGCGCCTCTTCGCCCGAACCGTGAATCGTAACACAAAGTAAAAGCCACCGCGATCGATCTCCCGATCCAACTCTAACAACCCTGTACCTGGAAATAGCGGACCCGGCGGATTCAGCTTCAGCGTTGAAGGGGTCATCTGGAACCCGAGGAAAATAGACCAAACATCAAACGCAGATAAGCAGTTACTGCGCCGCAGACACTGATGGGATTGCGCTCGCATCTCCCTATGCATTCGGTACCGAATGCTGCATACTGTTTCGGATCCAGTGCCCCCAATAACCAGGCTACCTCGGGCGCTCAAGGGCTGTCGCGTGACTGGTCGCAGATGCCTCCAGAACGTGACTCGGACCGAACTTCCAACGTACCACAAGATGGTCATTAGAGGCCCGTCCCAGGACTCACACGGAGGGCCTAATATCAAAACTAGTCAGGCACGTGCCCTGTTCTCGTAGTGAAGACTATGGCGTCGAAGCGTGTCGAAGAAGCGCCGAGGAAGTCTCCAAAATTGCCCGAACCCGCCCCCCGAATCCCGCACCCCGACCTCCGACTAAAGCCCACCACGTCACGCCCGAAGACGTGAACACCCAGGCTCGGGGGGACGACCGTGCTGAGCAGAGGCAGCTCTAAGCGGCACGCGCATGGCTCCCGACATCAAGAACTGCCCGGCCTGGTGCAGACACGTCCCGCGCTCCAGACATGTTGCGTGCGGGTCGGCCCCGGCCTGCAGCAACGCTCGGCAGCAGGCACCCGTGAGATCCACGCGGCACGCCGCGTGCAGTGGCGTCTCGACGCGGACACGCAAGAGGAACAAAACAACGGCAGAAGCTTCACCTCTTGGAGGTCCGCGCGGAATTCCTGGGTCGGCGCTGGACCCGCCTCCCTGGCGCCAGGAGGTCGCCAAGGGCGGCGCTGGAGGCGTCGCCTGGGGGGCCCAGCGACGATCCAGGAAGTCCGTGTGGAGCTCCAGAAGTCGATGCTCCTGCAGCTTTCTCTTCTTCAACATTATCCTTGGCGTTGGGATCTGCGGACGCCTCCAAGAGCCGCAGAACTTCCGACTCGTTCCCTCTCGCGGCAGCCTCGTACAATTGCTGGTTCAGCTCAGCGCTCGGATGCCTCTCCATCCGAAGGAACATCGCACCTGCTATTGGCCAGAGGTGCACAGGAAAGTGCCCACGAAACTTGAGCCGCATTCGCGACGGGCGGAATCACTGACCAGACATAGGTCGCTTCGAATCAGCTTCGTGTCGAATCGGTACACACGTCGGCGGAAGAGTCCAAGAGGGGATCCAAATGCGTCAACGCTTGACTTCTCCTGACTAGATGACGGGGGTGTGCCACCTCCTTCCTAGCGCAATGGCAATGTTTGTCAACGTCGCTTGTGATGTGCGACCAGCCTCGAGATACTACTGTGCCTCGACGCGCGACGACGCGGCGGAGATAGCCCAGCAGGGGTCCAAAAGAGTTCCAAGATGACCCGCCAAGACGGCTCCGTAAATAGCCCCTGCGAGACAAAGATCGACTCGCGCCCTGTAGCTCTTGTGCAAGCTTGGCATTATCTGCAACGATTGGATGCGCAATGACGCTTAAAACATGTCCGAGATACTGCAGAGGCTTCACTGCTGCCTCGAAAGGGGTCCTCACAGGCATCCCAGATGCCTCTGATCTACAACCCAAACGCGTTGGCGGGATGGGCCGAAGACAACTAGTGATATGTGTATATACATGTATGTATTTTTGTATATAGACATGTGTGGTATTAACATGTCGCTATATCTGCCGACCATCCACAAGATAACATCCAACATGCCTATAGTAGGCCGTACTATTCCTTAACCGGATCCGAGTTGCCAAGGGCCCCCCCCAACGATGTTGAAGCCCGAAGCTGTCGAATGATGTTCTGTTTTTGTTACTGTTGCTTCTTATGAGCTCCCTGGACCTCAAAATTGGGGAAACCCAGAGGTACCGATACCGGTACTACACGGCCCTCTCCTGGGATGCGTTCTGACTATAATTTAGAAGCGAGTCCAGCGGTAGCGACGAAGGCCTCCCGGGAGGCCCCGAGAGGGGAAACCGAGCGAACGGCAGCGGCATGGGGGTACCCAGTCCTCCTCTGAAGGATGGCCCTGACATCTGGCGGGAGAGCCTCAAGAGAGGCCCCCAGGGCTGCCGGGCGATCCCCGCAGAAACTCAGGAGCGCAGACGCCTACACGGAGGCCGCCCGGGGCCTGCGAGGGCTTCCGAGGGGCCTCCGCCGGACGCCAGGGGCCTCTGCAGGCCCCCGGCAGGGGCCCCCCCCGCCAAGATTTAAGTCGGGCCTGTCCCCCTACAGGGGGATTTCGACAAGCAAAAAAAAATCCCCAACAATAATGAAAAAAAATCCGAAAATAGTCGGGGGACTATTTTTTGAATATGTTTTGACCTTTTTGGGGTATTTCTGGGGTACGCCCGACATAACGCCAGGGGCCCCTGCAGGCCCCCGGCAGGGCCCTCCCCCCGCCAAGCTCCTCCGAGGGGGCTCCCCCCCCCGATGGCCTCGCGAACGCGCGCGCAGAGGCGCGCGCGCTCGGCGCAGCGCGCTGAGCCCGCGGCATGGTCTCCGTGCAGGGGCCGCTCCCGCAGCCGCTGCAGCACCCAGCGGCTGTCCCGGGCCTCCCACACCTGCGGGCGGGGCCACGCTCCCGACCTGCTCCGAGGCTCCGCGCGCCCTGCTCCGAGGCTCCGCGCGGGCCTCGCCATCGCTCGAACGTCCATTCCTCGTGTATTTTTCGGTTTCGCGCGTGTGTTTTTTCGCCAAATGATCAAGGATGGTCCTCGATGGCCGTCGCCGAGAAAAAAGTGCACACGTCCGAGCGATGCCAAGCGACCAGAATACAGCTAAGTCGGGCGTGTCCCCCTACAAGGGGGATTTCCGACGAAAAATAAAAAATCCCCCCAACATACCCCCAAAGGGTCAAAAAATATACAACAAATAGTCCCCAGACTATGTTTGGACTTTTTGTTGGGCTATTTTTGGTGTATTTTTTTATTTTTCGTCGAAAATCCCCCTGTAGGGGGACAGGCCCGACTTCAGAATGCCGCGAGAGAATTCTCCAGACAGGACCCACATCGAGCCAGGGTACTGCCCATCGCATGGAGGGGGATACGTCTCAGGCTGGTAAGCATGCTCTCTCTGCCCGGAGACACTCGAGTGTGCATCCACCCCGCCTCCAAGGGACACGCCTGGGCATTGAAGAGAGGGTAAGGTTTATGTCGGGCGTGTCCCCCTATAGGGGGATTTCCAATGACAAATAAACAAATACCAAAACAATGCCCCCAAAAGGTCAAAACATACTCAAAACATAGTCCCCAGACTATTTTTTGTTTTTTTTGGACTATTTTTATTTGTCGTCGAAAACCCCCCTGTAGGGGGACAGGCTCGACTTAAGGGTAAGGTCCGCAATCTCGCAGCTACTGCCCGGGTCGGACATCTGAAATGGCTTGCAGGGAACACTCGACTCGGCCCTCATCGCAGGGCGGGAAAACTTTCTGCGCAAAAGGGAAGGGAAAGGAGGGATGAAACAGCAGAAAGAAAAGCGGAAGGCGGAGGAGACGAACCCTCCTCCTCCTGATCCTTCCCGCCCTCTCCTTTGATCACCCCTCCCTCCTCCCGCTCTCACGCTCCCTCTCCCTCCCTCCGCTCTCATGCTCCCTCTCCCCCTCCTCTCCTGCAGTCCTGCTCCCCTCCCCTCCTGCTGCCCCTGCCCAGCCCCGCCCTCGCGCGACCTGTCCAATTCACATGAGCTTGATCGAAGGGCGCGCGGCAACGGTGGCGTCACCATCCAGTTTACCCCAGAGACCTCAACAGTTTGCCAGCGTGGACACCCAAAAAGGGTGTTCCTGCACTCCGATGCACCGTACGTGATGCATATGGAGGCGGTGCAAGACATGCTATACAATCATCTATAAATGAAGCGTTGGCTATGAGACATGTGGCGCACGCAAGCTGTGAGATGCAACATGTGGCCCGCGCTACTTTGTGTGTCGTCATTTCGGTTGTTCTCATTTCGTGTCAGGACCCAAGGAAGGCCCGCACATGTACGCACGTGCCGCACCGTCGGATGCACATGTGCCCAAGCGACTCTGCAAAACCTGCCCAGCATGGCCGCACATGCCAGCACATGGCGGGTACAGTCGGACTTCATTGGACAGGACACGCGAGAAGACAAAAGACCCTTCCGGGGGCCACCTTGCCATAGGAATGCAGGAGGCACGGGGCGCGAGACACAGGACACAAAGGTACCCTCGATTTGACAGGGTCGACCTACTAATCCGGGCCGACTGTAGTCCGAACCATTCGGGTCGGGCGAAAGGGGGGGATAGCAAAGGTGGGGTTTGAGAATCAGCTCACGGAGCTGATTTTCCCGGCGCCTCCCGGCGCCGGAGGCGGCTTTGTATCGAGGAATGGGCCCCTCGGTGAGGCCGAAACCAGCTGCATGCAGCAGATTTCGTAACCTCCCCTTTCCCAATCCCCCCCTTTCGTCCGGCCCTTGGAGGACCTCTTCGGGCCATCCCTGTTTCCCGCGTGGGGGCGGGGGAAGGAGGAGGAGGAGGAAAAGGAGGATGAAGACGACGACGACGACGACCACTACGATGAGGGAGGAGGAGGAAGACGACGACGACGACTAGTCCGAACCGTGCGCACGCACACGACTGACGAGCAACATGACAGCCAGGCCGCCCCGCAACAAAGAGCGCGGGGCGCGGCCGCGGGCCCCGCGAGGCCTCCGCGACGATGCGCCGGCAGTCCTCTCGGGCCGCCCGGCGCGCCCGCCACCCCCTCGCGGCTGCCCAGCCCCTCGCGGAAGCCGCGGGTCGCTCCCAGCCTTTCGTTTTCCTTATCGTTTTCGTTTTGTTGTTCGTTTTCCCTCGTTTTGTCTTCGTTTTCGTTTTCGTTTTGTTTTTCGTTTTCGTTCGTGTTTTGATTTCGTTTTCCCTCGTTTTGTCTTCAATCCGCCTCTAACGCAAAACGAGTTCGAAGCGGAAACGGCCCACGAAATCGCCAAAACACCGTTTGGGTCCACCCCTGCCTTGCAATATGCAAAACATGCAGGTTGCATGTGTTTTCACCGTTTTCGAAACCGGCTTGTTTTCCGATTGGTAGGTCTGTCTTCCTTTTCCCGTTTCGGGATTGCCGTTCGCGCCGTGTTCGGATCTGCCGTGTTCTTTTCTGTTGGGCTGTGACTTTGTTCCATTCTGGTTGGCCGAAAACCGAAGCGTTAAAAATGAAGCAGAAACGCACCCAGCGCCCTAAACACCAACCAAGCCCCAGCTCGCCTCTCACGCTGACAGCTGCCTCTGCTTCGCCCAGGCGCCCGAGAGAGCCAGACATCCCCAACCTGCAGGACACATCATGCACCGATAATCTTCCCCAGCCCCGCCCCCTTCGTGAATGAATACCCCTGGGCCGCGAACCTCTGGACACAAGGCTTTTTGCGGATGCTCCGCGCGAGACGAACCCGACCGCATCATCTGCGAGATCGCGCCACGGAATGCAGACCGCGAGGAAGCGGAGACGGAGGTGTTCGCCGCTAGTGGCCCCTGGTCCTCCTGGGCGGCGTGCTCCTTCTCCTCCTCCCCCGTCCTCTTCCCCCCCATCCTGCCCCCCTCCCTCCTTCGCATCGTCTTGCCCCCTTCGGAATCCTTCCAAAAACATCGAACAACTCCAGGAGACCTCGCGCAACAAAGAGTGCCGCACGCACCAGAGGATATCGACAGATGTAATAATACTCCAACAGCATATGTCAAACACCAGTGAACACGTCAGAACATCACTGAAGATATCCGCGTCTGAAGGCCCCCGCAAACCTCAATAATCAAATGGAAGTTGCAGGGTGGACAATTAACTCCAGGAGCCAATTGCTTCCTGATATTAATCCTGTCTTCTGCCTCCCTCCTCGTTCTCCTCCTCTTCTCCTCCTTCTGCTCCCCATACTTCTCCTCCTCCTCCTCACTCGTTCACATCTTACTCCTCCTCCTCCTTTTGCTCCACGCTCAGCTCCCTGGGATCGGTAGAGAGGTGAGTAATAAGATCGATGGTAAGACCGATCGATAAAAAATCGACCAAGAACCCTGCAAACACTGATTGGGAAATTGAATGAACTCCGTAATGAACTCGACAATGAGATCGATAATTAACCATCGGCACGGAACCAATGATCAAGAACCTGGGAACCTGGGAACCAATGAGATCCGTAATGAACTCGACAGTGAGATCGGTAGTGAACCATCGGCCCGGAAACAATGACCATGGAACCCGGGAGCCCGGGAACCTGGAGCCCAGGAACCCAGCGGGCCACCAAATCGGCGAGTCACTTTCGCCAACTTTAGCAACATCCGCGAGGAGCCCTTCAGTGCAAGAACTGATTGGGGAACTATTACCCCTCGACTGCGAAATGTACTACTACTACTACTACTACTACTACGACTACTACTACTACTACTACTACTACTACTACTACTACTACTACTACTACTACTACTACTACTACTACTACTACTACTACTACTACTACTACTACTACTACTACTACTACTACTACTACTACTACTACTACTACTACTACGACTACGACTACGACTACGACTACTACTACTACTACTACTACTACTACTACTACTACTACTACTACTACTACTACTACTACTACTACTACGACTACGACTACGACTACTACTACTACTACTACTACTACTACTACTACTGCTTCTACAACAACGACTACTACTTATACGACCACTACTACTACGACTACTATTTCTACTACTGGTATAACGACTACGACTACAACTACAACTACGACTACGATGAATATTACTACTACAACTACTAGGTTCTACTATTACTACTACGATTAAGTCTACTACTACTACTACTACTACTACTACTCCTGCTACTACGGCTAGTACTGCGAATACGGCAACTACGGGTACTACAACTACAACTACTAGTACTACTACGACTACGACTACTACTACTACTACTACTACTACTACTACTACTATTACTACTCCTACTACTACTACTACTACTACTACGACTACTACTACTACGACCACTACTACTACTACTACTACTACTACTACTACTACTACTACTGTACTACTACTACTACTACTACTACTACTACTACTGTTACTACTACTACTACTACTACTACTACTACTACTACTACTACTAGTAGTACCACCCCTCATACTTCGAATACTAGGTATACGACTACGACAACTACTTCTACCACTACTACTACTACTACTACTACTACTACTGCTACTACTACTACACTACTACTACTTCTACTACTAGTACTACTGTCACTACGACGACGACGACTACTACTACTACTACTACTACTACTACCACTACTACTACTACTGCTACTACTACTACTACTACTACTACCACTACTACTGTTACTACGACCGCTACTACGACCACTACTACGACTCCTACGACTACTGCTACCATTCGTATTAGGACTACTACTACTACTACTACTACTACTACTACTACTACTACTACTACGACTACGACTACTACTACTACTACTACTACTACTACTACTACTACTACTACTACTACTACTACAACAAATACGGTTACTACGACTACGACTACGACTACGACTACTACTACTACTACTACTACTACTACTACTACTACTACTACTACTACTACTACTACTACTACTAATACGGCTACTACGACGACACGACGACTACTACTACTACGACCACTACTACTACTACCACTACTACTACTACTACTACTACTACTACTACTACTACCACTACTACTACTACTACTACTACTACTGCTACTACTACTACTACTACTACTACTACTACTACTACTACTACTACTTCTACTACTACTACTAGTGCCACTACTCCCACTACTCCTACTGCTACCACTATGACTCATATTTCTTCTACTACTACTACTACTACCACTACAACTACTACTACTACTCCTACTACTACTACTATTAGTAGTAGTAGTAGTACTACTACTACTACTACAACTACTACTACTACTACTACTACTACTACTACTACTACTATTATGTTACTACTGCTAGTGCTACTACTGTACTACTGCTACTGCTACTGCTACTGCTACTGCTACTGCTACCGCTACTGCTACTGCTACTGCTACTACTACTACTACTACTACTACTACTACTACTACTACTACTCCTACTACTACTACTACTACTACTACTACTACTCCTACTCCTACTCCTACTCCTACTACTCCTACCCATGAATTAGCAGAGCTCACACGAACATCCGTAAACGAAAGACTTTTAGCGGTTTGTCTTCGGAACATCGCGCCGCATCGCCGATCGATGCATCGATGCATCAGCGCCGTCTGCGTGGAGAACATGGGCCTCCACATCCAGCCGCATCGTTGATACATCGGCAACGCGATGCGATCTTTTGACCCAATCCACTTGGCCCGTTGTGGGAGGCCTGGCCCTCTCCCCCCGGCCACCGCGTCGCCTCTGCCTGCCCCAGGAGTCCTCGGGGCCGACGTCCTGGAGCTCGCCCCCCGTGGCCTCGCGACGCGCGTCGAGACGGCGGGCCGGTGACGCTGTCCCGGGAGGGGCTGGGGAAGCACTGGTCTGAGGTCGGGCCTGTCCCCCTACAGGGGGATTTCGGGAGAAAAAATTCAAACTACCCCCCAAAATACCCCAATAATGCTCCAAAGTGGTAACAAAAAAATCGTCCCCAGACTGTTTTTTAAACTATTTTGGAATACTCCCCCTGTAGAGGGACAGGCCCGACTTAACACTGGTCCTGGGCAGCACAGGCCCGGGCCCGCCAGGGCCCCGTGGCGAAGTCCCGCCGGCCGCCCCACACGCGTGCTCGCGTCGTGGGAGAGGCTCGGGGCGGGCAGCTTGTCGCTGCCCTCGAGGCCTCTCGGGGCCCTCACCGGGCCCCGGGGCCGTTAACAAAGCAATGCCTGTTCGAGGGTCCCCGGGCCGACTCAGGATCTGGCCATCGCTCGGACGTCCATTCCCTGTGCTTTTGCGGCTCCGTGCGTGGTTTCTTTTCGCCAAGTGATCAGGGGTGCTCCTCGAGGGTCCTCGCCGAGGGAGAGATGCATACGTCCGAGCGGTGCCAATGGAGGAGAAGCCGGTCCCAGGGAAGGGGTCTGGACCTCCAGGCACCCCGTGCGGACAAACATCGGGACGTCGGACGTCTGGGAGCACGGACGAGCGGAGGGCGGGGCAGCGGGGTCGGCCCCACGCGAGCGACGAAAAGGAGAGGGTCTCGCGAGTTGGCATAGCGACCTTACCTCGCCATCGCTCGGACGTCCATGCCTCGTGTATTCCCCACATCCAAAGTGGGGTTCTTGTTTTCTCTGCACACCCCCCGCGCAAGATCTCACACCCTCTCTCTCTTTCTCTTCCTCTTTCTCGCCATCATCATCATCAGTCATCATCATCATGACCGACGCCTCTCCTCCTCAGCACCATCACACTTACCCATACACCACTCGATCGCTCACTCACTCACTCACTCACTCACTCATCATGATCATCACATGAGGATATCATCCGCTGGCGTCACACATCACTCAGTCAGTCCGTCACTCACTCGAGTATCAAGCGGGAGCGTCGTCTGTGAGTGAATTGCGAGGAAGTCTCAGGCGGGAGCCTCTCCCTATGGGGCCCGCAGATCATCTTACTAATCCGAGGCGGGTCATCGGGATCCTGTAACTGTCGTCACTTTTGGGCTCCTGGGGCGTGAATTTGGAGGAAGTATCAGGCGGGAGCGTCGTCTGTGAGTGAATTGCGAGGAAGTCTCAGGCGGGAGCCTCCCCCTATGGGGCCCGCAGATCATCTTACCAATTCGAGGCGGGTCATCGGGATCCTGTAACTGTCGTCACTTTTGGGCTCCTGGGGCGTGAATCTGGAGGAAGTATCTAGCGGGAGCCTCGTCTGTGAGTGAATTGCGAGGAAGTCTCAGGCGGGAGCTTCTCCCTATGGGGCCCGCAGATCATCTTACTAATCCGAGGCGGGTCATCGGGATCCTGTAACTGTCGTGACTTTTGGGCTCCCGGGGCGTGAATTTGGAGGAAGTATCAGGCGGGAGCGTCGTCTGTGAGTGAATTGCGAGGAAGTCTCAGGCGGGAGCCTCTCCCTATGGGGCCCGCAGATCATCTTACTAATCCGAGGCGGGTCATTGGGATCCTGTAACTGTCGTCACTTTTGGGCTCCTGGGGCGTGAATTTGGAGGAGGTATCAGGCGGGAGCGTTGTCTGTGAGTGAATTGCGAGGAAGTCTCAGGCGGGAGCCTCTTTCTATGGGGCCCGCAGATCATCTTACCAATCCGAGGCGGGTCATCGGAAACCTGTAACTGTCGTCGCTTTTGGGCTCCTGAGGCCTGAATATGGGAGAAGTATCAGGCGGGCGCTCCATCCCTGTGGGGCACGCACTTCATGTTCGAACCCGAGCGGGTCATCCGAGCGAGCTTTTTGGGCTCCTCAGTTCCTGCGGCCTGAACAAGGGGGAAGTATCAAGCGGGAACTTTGTCTGTGGGCGGTGCGGGTAGTCCCGTCTGAGGACCGTCTCTTGTCGTCACTTGGAGGATCGAAGGGGAACTCGCTCCTGCGGCCTGAATATTCTCTTTCGACTTGCCCACGTCCAATTGCTGGCCAACCTTGTCGTCGTCGGCGGGAGGAGGAGGAGGATGAGGACGGAAGGGGTATGGGGAGGGCGATGATGAGGAGGAGGTGGAGAAGGAGGAGGAGGAGGAGGAGAAGGAGGGGGGGGAAATAGAAGAAGAGGAAAAGATGGCAGAGGAGAGGGCGATACGAGGGTGTTTGCCATGGCCGGGAGGAAAGGGATAAGGGAAAGCTAAACAGATTATCATGTGGGGTCCTTCCGTCGGAGTAATTTTTCGATTTCGTGCGTGTTTCTGTTCGCCAAATGATCAAGGATGGTCCTCGATGGCCGTCGCCGAGAAAAAATGCACACGTCCGAGCGATGCCAAGTTACGAGGTGGCTTACGCGGACCACCAGAGCGGCTCGCTGCATTGGAAGCAAGGGCGCTCGCGCGCGACCTTACGCGAGCAACTCACTGACGCGCCAAATGTCGGCGCAGGCGGGCCCGTCTCTCTGCGCTGCTCGCGTGGCCCCAGACCCGGGATCAGCCCGCGGGGATGGGCCGACCCCCGCTGGCGCGGAGCCCCGAAGGGAGGGCAGAGGAGCTTCGGACGGGGAGTGCGGCGACCCCAGTCCATGACGTGTTTCGAGGGCTTGTTTCGACTGGGCAAGGAAGCAAGTCGGGCCCAACTTGGGAACACACGAGGGGGGGGGGGCCCCCAATCCTCGACAAGGGGAGCGTCCGAATAGCCCCCTTGGGGGGGTATCTTTGAGTTGTCCTTCCTTGTCTGAGCGGCCACTTCCTGTTAGGGGAACTCGGGGACTGGGGGAGGGACATGACCTGCGAGCTCTCTCCCTTTGGACTCAACCGAAAAAGTTAGCCCTAATCAGGCGAAAACTGGCCGCAGCGTCAATCGCGATAAAAATGAGAAGTGCGCAACAGCAGCCACAGCATTAAATGCAAGCGACAGAGAATGGGAAGAGTGGAATGGACCGCAACGGCATAGATATGCTATGCTCGCTGTACGGACGGGGTGGTGGATGACCCATGGGAGCATGGCTCCTCATCCTCATCCTCATCATCAGCAGCAACATCCTCCCTCTCTTTCGCGCGTTGCCGCGAATCCTTCGTCGTGCCAGAGGGGGTCCCAATGAAACATAATGAAAACATGATGCTAGATTCTGGGGGTTGAACATGCTAGGCTTCTGTTGTCCCCATCGAACTTAAGGGCCACATCCCAAAAATGATTTCGAGCGCCTAGAAAAATATCGAAACAGTGCATGCCCGACGCGCTAACGAAGCGTCGAAGGAGAATCGCCTACTGGGGCCCGGCACGTCCAAATCCATCAGTTTCGGTACTTTCCTGGCGCTCGAAAATCGTTCTGGTTCTCAAGGAGAACGTAGGTTGGACATCATAAGGCTAGGCCAAATTAGGCTGACTCTCAATGCTTCATTCCCCCGGCTTTTTCTTCTTCTTATTATTATTATGATAATTATTATTATTATTATTCGTATGATTATTCGTCTTCTTTTTCTCATTAATTATTCATCGTGGTTTCCTTCATCTCCTTCTTAGGCGAAGAGGAGGAGGAGGAGGACGAGGAGGAGGGAGGAAAGAGGACCAGGAGCAGGAGCTTTCGGCCTTCCGAGAGGGTGGGGTGGCCTTCTCGAAGGCGGGGTGGCCTCGATGGGGGGGCGCGAGGGGGGCGGCCTTCCGAGAAGGTGGGGCGGCTTCTGCGAACGCAGAGGGGCCTCCTCGGATCGGATCGGATGGCCTGTGCGGGCATGCGCCCGGGCCCCTTAAGTGCGAGGCGGGTGAGGCCATGGCCTCGCATGAGAGGCAGCGCGCGTCGGAGGCTTGCTCAGGATAATGCGTACGTACCTCACGAGTTGATGTTCCAATTGTTCCCACTCCTCTGTTGTAATCCGATGTAGTGACGTAGTTTCGCTGAAGTCGTAGTGTCTGTGGCATGAACCTGTCGGAGAATCCCGTTAAGACCCAGAGTCTTCCAAGCGGATCTCCGACAAGCCAAGGCGGCTCGCCAGACGCCGCCCCCGAACCGTCTCAGGAGGCCGACGCCCTTGCATTACATAACCCAGGGGGTAGGACGGATGCCGAGCAAATTCAGGCGGCCAGACTCAAATACAGGCGGTCCTTGTGTTTGGCAGCTTTTGGCCTCGGGAGGCCAGATTGGGGCCCAGGGGCAGTCAACAACGACTGGTGAGGAGCAGCTGGCCCTAGCGAAGGGTCAAAATAACAGGGGGTATGTCGACCCCTATCCCAGGCCTCATGGTGGCTTCGAATGGACCAGAAATTCGAGGCCCAACCCTGGGATATACCATCCTCGACAGGGGTGCGACCGGATGGCCTCCTCGGGGTGTATCCCAGGGTTACCCTCCTTTCTGAGAGGTTTCATCTTGCGTCGAAGAGTCGAGAGCTGGGGGAGAACAATCGCCAGCGACGGAAAGTATTGTGCCTATGCCCCGGACTAACGAAGCCTCTCGTAGTCTGGGAGGCGGGCTGGGGAGGAGAGAGGAGGAGCAGACAATGATAGCTACCCTCGATACATATATACATATACACATCTATATATATGTATATACATATATATATATATACATATACACATACTACCTCTTGAATACTTCTGCAATCTGTGACCCTGCGACCCCCCCTAAACGGGAACCCCCAAATCCTTGGCCCCCTGGGGTCGGGAGCGGCCAAGAGGGGGGGGTCCAAGAGGGGGGGGTGCGAATCATGACCCGCGGCATGTGCGCGGCCCAGCGGGGGGGCCAGGGACGCAATGAAACAAGAAGAGGCGCCCCGAAATCTGGAGAAATATCATGGTCCCCGCCATGATATCCCCTCCCCCTAGTCATCACCCCCCTCTTTTCCGCCCCCGACAAATGCGTGGCCCCCTGGGGGCCTCCTGGACGCCTCCGCAGAAGGCTCCCCGGGCTTTCCCAGGCTTCTGGGAGGCCCTGCTGGGCCCAAGCACGGGGCCCATGTCGGCCAGGAGGGTGGCGGCAGGGCCCCGCGAGAGCCCCAAGAGGCCCCAGGTACCCACCAGACGCCCGAAGACGACCCAAAGAAGACCTTCAGGAAGTTGTCGAAACCAGGGAGAAAAACATAGACTTCCCAAAGGCTTTGGATTGATTGTGGCAACTGATCTTTTCTTCGGTCTTCCGAGCGTCCGAGACCGCCCAGGAGGCCGGAACATCGTCGCAAAACCACCAAGAAGGGTTCCAGACAATCTCACAGAGCCTCGAGACGGCCCCAAGGCCCTGAGTCGTTCCGAAAATACCCGCATGACGGCCCGAGGTGGCCCCAAGACGCCCCTCGAAGCATCCCAAATCGTGACCAGGTCGTTCAGGGAGACCGCGGTTAGAACCAGGGTGGCCCGAGGAAGACCCCAGAAGGCGCCCAGGAGGCATTCAGAAGGCCCCCCAAGAAACCCTGACAAAACTTAGCGGGTCCCCAAGAAGCTCTCCAAGGAGAAGCCTCTGCACAACAGCTGATAAGGATGGGAAGGATTCGCAAGGTAGGGCCAGGAATAGGAAGGGGAAGAGGGAATTGTATTCAAAACAATTGATATAACGGAGGTGTCAAGCAAAGAAAGTATATATCATCGCTGAAGTGTATGTGATATCTTCCTGCGCGTCGGCCTGCATGCCAGCATTCAAGGACCACGGTGCGTGGCGCGAAGCATCAATGCAATCTTGAATATGTATATGTACATCTATAAATATATGCATATATCTGTACATGTACATCTACGTACATAAGAAACAGAGCGAGGCAGAGGCAGAGCTATAGAGCCACCAACACACAGAGATATGATGCTGACGAATCTGACAATGATGACGCTGATTGTGACGATCAGGAAGGGGGGCATGATCGCGGCATCTTGGATGATTCGGCGAACTGTTCCTTTTATCAAACGCTTCGTTGCTACAATCAACCCGTACAATTAGGACGCACGATAAGGATGCAAGGACCTTGGAAAGCCATGTCGACACTGTGCGATCGGGGGGGGCCAGCGAAACTGGCCAAGGATGGGCCGACAGGGAAGGATGCAAGGAGAATCTTGGAAAAATGCTCATCCTTACTATGCGGGGTCATGACTGTACTCCCGGCACCCTCAGAACTCAATCCACAGATGGGCAGCAACATTCGTGACACTTGGAAAGACAAACGACGCGAGAGGGAACACAGGGGTCGGGAGGAGGTACAGGAGGTGCTGGAGGACGGCCGAGGGAGGAGGGTAAGAGAGACGAATCGATGAGGTAAGAGCTAGAAAGGATAATAATTTTGGGGGGAGGCGGGATGGAGCAAGAAAGAATATAGTGATGGGGGGGAGGAGGGAAGAAAATTATCCCGGCAAAGCAACCTAACAGCGATGTGTAGAAGCATATCTGAAAGCATTCCCCTTAAGATTCAGATGAAAATCCAGTTGTCGAATTCTGCTGTTCTCGCAGTCGTAGTCGCATTCGCGATGACAGTCGCAGCGGCAACGGCAGTCGCAGTCACAGCCTCAGCCTCAGCCTGCCTCAGCCTCAGCCTCAGCCTGCCTCAGCCTCAGCCTGCCTCAGCCTCAGCCTCAGCCTGCTTCAGCCTCAGCCTCAGTCTGCCTTCAGCCTCGGCCTCAGCCTCAGCCTGCCTCAGCCTCAGCCTGCATCAGCCTCAGCCTCAGCCTCAGCCTGCCTCAGCATCAGCCTGCTTCAGCCTCAGCCTCAGCCTGCCTCAGCCTCAGCCTCAGTCTGCTTCAGCCTCAGCCTCAGTCTGCCTTCAGCCTCGGCCTCAGCCTCAGCCTGCCTCAGCCTCAGCCTGCCTCGGCCGCAGCGTCAGCCTGCCTCAGCATTCAAAATGTGGCCCAGGAATGGAGTTCTGGGAACTAGAAGAACACGAAGTGGCCTACAGTTGGCTCCGGGCATTCAAAATCATGCCCAGGAATGGAGTTCTGGGAACTTGAAGAGCACGAAGTGGCCTACAGTTGGCTCCGGGCATCCAAAATGTGGCCCGGGAATGGAGTTCTGGGAAATCGAAGAGCACGAAGTGGCCTACAGTTGGCTCCGGGCATCCAAAATGTGGCCCGGGAATGGAGTTCTGGGAAGTCGAAGAGCACGAAGTGGCCTAAAGTTGGCTCCGGGCATCCAAAATGTGGCCCGGGAATGGAGTTCTAGCAGCGCCAAGAGCGATTTTGTGAGGATGTCCCAAGCGATTTGGGCTTCGGCGGCAGCCGCCCCGGGTCCCGCCCCGACCCCCCTGTGGAGTCATCTGCTGCTCTCTTTTGAGTCCACTAGAAACCTATCAGCAAAACCTGTTAGGTAAAAACGACCATCCTCATCACGTCGTAAGAATTAGGAGTGTCGCTGTGTCTTGCTACTGTCAGCAGGACGAGTCGGAGGGGAGGAGGAGGCGCATTAAACAAGGATGTGAATGAAGCGGCGAACTTGGAGGGGCAGAGGGGATGGATGGTGGTACAGGGAGGGAAGGGTAATGGGGGGGGAATGGTATGGATGGGGAGACCGGGTGGAGGGGGATGGGGGGACAGGCGCGGAAAGCGGGAGAGGGAGGACAGGGAGGGGAGGCAAAGACAGAGCCCAGTATTCCTCAGGGTCGGCAACGATTTTACTCAAGCACACACATACTCTCGTCCGACGCGCAAGTGAGGTCCAATCACGGGACACCTTGGTTCTGGGTCCCGACTAGCCCCACGTCACGGGGCGACCATATACACAGACGCAGCACCGCGCTGGATGCGTTGGTATAGCGGTCCCTTCCACCAACGGCCATCAAGCGAATATGCCCCCAGACCCCTGCGGCATCGAACTACTAGTCGCAGATTCGTATCCTGTGGCCAAACACTGCCAGCAACATGTTTTTACCCCAGCAGTCTGAACAGGCCAGCTGAACATCCTGACCCTTACGGCTGAAGCAAATGCAGCTAAATATCCTCAACCCAAGCGGCCTAAACAGGCCAGACGAGGACTACAACTACCACCATGCCCTCATCCTCTGGCCTAAAACTGTCAGCAAACTGACCTCATCCCCAGGCGTGGAACTGCCACCGTAATCCGCCGACCCTGCCGGCGTGTGGAAAGAGGCTGTTCCGCTTGACTCGTCCTCGTCGTCGTCGTGGTCGTTGTTGTCGTCATCGTCGCTGTCGCCGTCGCCGGTCCCCTCCCTTTCCCTGAGCCTGGCGCCGCTGCCTCCACTTTCACCGGGCCCTCCTCTTCGAGCGCGCCAGCCACAGCGAAATTGAGCAGCGCTGTAGTTGAGTCGAAGGGAAGCCCCTTCCCTTTGATCCCTTCCCTGCTGGGGGGATCCCAAGGCAAGTCCCAGGGGGGACCCGGGTCAGATACGACTCCCCTCCCGGCGGCTCGGGAGCCCAGACTATCGCCAAGTCGTTGCAAAAGTGCCCCGAGATGCCCCTAATAATGTCCTCGAGGGGCCCGAATCGCCGGAGTATCGGTCCAAGTCGCGATAGCCTCCAGACAGCTTCGGAAGTTCCCACTCCAAGGGCACTCCCAAGAGGGCCCCAAGGAGCAAAACTCATCGATTTCCCTTAAGTTTTTGACAGATTTCGGCATTCTCGCCTTGTCAGCTTCCCGACGCTCCAAGACAGGCCAAGAAGCCCCCAAGACCGCCCCAATATCTCCCAAGAGGCCTCCAAGAGAGCCCCAAAACGACCCAAGAGGGCCCCAAGACCGACCAAGAGGCCTCCAAGACAGCCGAAGAGGCCCCCAAGACGGCTCCAAGGAGGAGCCCTCGCAGGGAACCCGAACGCACATTTCGAGCCCTCGGCCTGAGAAGCTCTCAGGAGGCCCCCAGAGGTCCTTAAGAAGCCCCGCAAGAAGCCCCAAGAAGCCCCCAAGAGACCCCCAGAGACCCCAAGAGGCCCCCACGAGGCTTCCAAGCGGCCCCCCAGAGCTTCCCAAGAGGCCCCCAAATTACCCCGAAGAGGGCCCGGAGAGCGCTCGTCGTCGTCGTCGTCGTCGCCATTCAGGGTCGGCGGCACTGGCCGTAAGGCCTTCGCAATAGCCTCACACCCAAGCTTCCGAAAACTGCCTGGGATAAAACTCGCATCGAACGGATCAAAATGATTCAAATGGCAAATCAGTTCAACCACTTTACCCACCAATCGGAAGAGGTAGGCGGAAACGTTAAGCGGATGAAGTAGATCGGGCTCGGGCCCGCCCAGCCACAAACGCATGCCGAGTATTGAACTAGGAAGGCGCTCGGAAAAGATTGCGATTTGGGTATCCACAAATACCCTTCTCAAACGACCGGCGAATACCTCACGAGCATGAACTGAAGGGCTGCGCTAGCAAACCGTCGGTTTCATCGAGCACAGCGACCGGCAACAGGCCCACAAGAGGCCCCAAGAGGCTCCAAGGTGCACCTAGTCGGCGACGAAGGCCTCAACAGCCCCACAAGCCCCCCCAAATCCTCCCAACTGTCCCCACAGCCTCTGCAACACGACCCAGGCACCGTAATTTCAACCTCTGATTTCAATCAGGGTCGGACTGTTCGGAGCTACCTCTTCGCTGTGGGCGCCACCTCTTTGCGCCCAAGCTGTTCACTCTTCAGGGTCGGCGGCACCAACCCAACCGCAAGGCCTGAAGGCCTCAGGCCTCTGTGATCCACCCAGCCCAGGTCTGGTCCACCGACCCCCCCGGGGTCCATATTCAGGCCCAGGCTTCGAGCTGCGCCCGACCGGAGCCACATCGGCGCTGCCGGAGGTCACAGAGAGCAAACCACAAGGTTCGCGCGCCACCAAAACAGATCCTCGGAGCAGGGGTCGCGAGGGGTCGCGGCAGCGCTGGCGGGCCTTGAGCACCAGCCGCTGCCGCGCCCTGCCCGCCGCGGCGCCCGGGCCTGGGAGGATGCCATGCACACACTAGCGCAAGTCCTGGCCAGGCCCGCCCTGAGACCAGGATCTCACCATCGCTCGGACATCGATGTCCTGTGCATGTTTTGGTTTCGTGCGTGTTGTTTTGGCCCGATGATCAAGGATGCTCCTCGAAGGTCCTCGCCGAGAAGAAACGCACACGTCCGAGCGATGCCAAGGGGTCAGTGAACAGTCAAGATCGGTAGTTCGGGTATTGCCAGAAGTGCCCCTGGGCTTTCCGAGGCGGCCCCCACGCCCCCACGGAGCACCCCTCGCGAGGCCCAGAGGAGCCCGGGGGGCTTCAAATTCTAGCGCGAAGCTGGAGGCACCTCGGGCCAGAGGCTCCTTTGGCAACTCCCGAGTCACGAGGGAGAGCGTCGGGGTGCGGGGCACCTAGAGAGCGCCCGAGGGCGCCGCAGGGGCTGCCACCCAGAAGTCACACTGACCCAGAAGGCGCGCCAAGAACTTCAGGATCCGAGGGATGCCATGCAAGGGTCCACTGCGTCTCGCGCCCATCCTCACTTCCAGTTCGGCCTGCCAACGTCCTCCGTCAGTCCTTGGCTCAGGACTGGCCTGGCCAGGAGCGATGTATATATATATATATATATATATAAACACACATATATATATATATATATATATATATATATATATATATATATAGGTACACGGCAGGTTCACGTCGCGAAGACGTCGGTTTTTGCCCCTGGCACCGCGTAAGATCGCGGTTTTCTGGCAGCGCGGACCACTCGATGTCTCAACCAACTCGAGGGCCGCTGGCGGCGCTGACGCGGCGCGCCGCGTCACGGCGTCGCGGACCTGCCTTCTAAATCGGGGAATGCACAAAATACCGATACCGCTGCTGGCCTGACCTCTACCGGGGTGCGTTCTGACCAGAATCTCTCGGGGCGAATCAAGCGGCGGCGACGAGGGCCTCCCAGGATGCCCCCAAAGGCGAAAACGAGGCAAGGGTAGCGGTATCGTTATCTTCCTCGAGGAACAAACAATTACATAAACATGAACTTCTGGAGGTCCGCGCGAAAGTCTCGGATCGGCGCCGGAGGCGCAGCCAGGGGAGTCCAGCACCGATCCGAGAACTCCGCGCGGACCTCCAGAAATTCATGTTGATGTCATTGTCTGTTCCGCGAAATTCACTCCTCGGCTAAAAGCTGGCTGACGGGCACCGATAGGGGGACTGGCGCAAGGGGGGAGACATCCACCTGGAATCGGCGATAGGCCCCCGACAGCGTCCCCACGCTCCTGGGCTGGGTGGGGCTGTCGGGGCCCCATCGGCGATCAACGGGCGATTGGGAACCGATAGATCCCCCCCTGCGCCGGTGCCCCCTACCGCTGCCCCCTCGTTGGCGCCCCCCGGCGGGCCCCCCAGCGAAGACAGCACGCGGTCGCAGAGGCCGCTGAGCGCCGCGGAGGCGGCGGCGCGCCCGGCGCTGGGCCGGCGCTGGGCCGCGGCGCCTCGGCGGGGCGTGCCGCGCCCCTCGTCGCCGGCGGAGCGGCGAGGAGAAGCGGGGGCCCTCATGCCGTTGCGGAGTCGTCGCTGGGCCTCGCTCGATGGGGGGGGGGGACGACAAGAAGTGTGGGGAGGAGGCAGGTGCACTTTTTTCTCCAGGCCCGAAAGGGCCCCTCTGGGCCCGAAGGGGCCCCTTGAGAGGCCCCAAAGGGCCCCTTTTCTGTAGCCCTCGCTGCCCCTCCGCTGTTATCGGCCCCCCATTCTTGGCGTCGCTCGAACGTCCATGTCCCGTGCATTTTGTCGGTTTCGTGCGTGTTTGTTTTTTGCTCGATGGTCCAGGATGGTCCCCGATGGTCCTCGCCGAGAAGAAATGAAATGCACACGTCCGAGCGATGCCAGGCATTACGCGCCCCCCAGTCGGGCCCACCGCGGGGCGCCCAGGAGGGCGCCGCAGGCCATCGTTCGGCCGTCGTCGTCGTCGTCGTCGTCGTCGTCGTCGTCGTCGTCGTCGTCGTCGTCGTCGTCGTCGTCGTCGTCATCACCGTCTGAGTCGTCGCCGTCGTCGTCGTCGTCGTCGTCGCCAGAGTTATTCTTTCGCGAAACATCAGTCGGGTTACTGACGGCAGACTGCCAGCGATACTAAAGACTACGAACGCGGCATATCCTCCAAGGTCAAGGCCTCAGCCGTGTACGAAAAGACCCGATCTTGGATCAACGTCCCAGTAATGATCACCGGCACCATGATCTCACCAGAATCGGTACCCCGTGCCGCCGCCTATTTCTGGTTTCAGCTTGAATTCGCCAAGGACGGCGGCGCTGCCGAGAGGCACCTGGTGTTCGAGAAACGATCCTTTCAAAGAGTGCGAGAAGAGACGGCTACGGTGGCACCTCGTTGTCACGGAGGCCTCTCATACCATCTTGTGGGCTCTTGTGAGTTGACGCACTCGACGCTAATCGACGCTCGTAGACTCCAATCGAAGCTAATTCGACGCTAACCGGCGCTAATCGACTCTCAATCTGGATTTTCTCGACTACCAAGCGCTAAACGACGTCTTGCACCCTGAAAAGGAATCACGAGGCGAGGCTATACACGACTCCTATAATTTGCTACCGGACAAAGCGACACCGCGCCACGGCTTACGCGGGCAGGCCTGGGAAAGATCGAATCGCGGAATCGGATCGCATCGGGAAGAGATCGGATTGCCCACAGTCAGAAGGCCCTGGGACACACAAATAAATACACACAAATAACAGGAGTCCCCATACTTTCCCATATTTTCTAGGGTTTTGTCTTCCCCCCCACTTCCCATATTTTCCCGCGTTTTCTGGGCAATCGGCGATGAATTGTGTCTGTGGTTTTTCCCCTCCTGATCCTAATCGAGCCGACTTCGGGCCGCTGCCTCCGGCCCCGACTGGCCCTGGCCTGTGCCGGTCAGCCGAGCCCTTAAGCCATCGCTCGGGACGTCAAGCCCCCAATCCTTGGCCGGCCTCGCGCGCTCCCTTCTCTTAGGAGGCAACTGCTGGGAGGCTTCCGTCGGAAAGGTTAAGGAGGATGAAGCCCCACATGGGAGCCGTTACGCCGGAAAAGGGCCTCGGACCAAGCAGGGTTAAGCCAGATGAAGCGGGATTGAGCCGGATTTCGGACCAGGGCGAGCACAGAATTTGACCTCCCAGGAGTTGCATCCGAATCTATGGTCCCCGCCGAGGAACTCGCCATCGCTCGGACGTCCTTTTCTCGTGTATTTTTCGATTTCGTGCGTGATTTTTTTGCCAAATGATCAAGGATGGTCCTCGATGGCCGTCGCCGAGAAAAAATGCACACGTCCGAGCGATGCCAAGGGAAAGAGCGCATAGCCCCGAGAGGTGCCCAGCACATCGGACCGAATCGGAGCCGCAAGCGGCCCTGCGCGGGCCGCCGTGGCCCTCCTCCGAGCCGCCATGTCTTCGGGCCCCTGGAACGGGTACGGTGCGGACGCACGGGGCACAATGTCCAACAACAGCACATAAATACACACAGATAAATACACAGGACACACACAGATAAAAATATTCTCCATGTTTTCCCATATTTCCTGGGATTTTGTCTTCCCCCCACTTCCCATACTTACCAATATTTTTCTAGGAATCAACGATTAATTGTGTCTGTGTTTTTGTTCCCTCCTGATGTTGTCCCAAACCGACAGCGGTCGGTGTTGCGAAGGCGGCCCTCTGCCTTAAATGGACAACGCCCGCGGCGATGCCGACAGCGAGCCCTGCTCAGAATGGGCAGGAAATTCGGTCCGCCTTCGTATTCCTTCTTTTCGTACCCATGTCGATCGTACGGATCGATGCGCCGAAGGCCTGGCCCAAGGTGCCCCCAGAATTTCTAAGGAGGCCCCTCCAAAATGGAGCGAGAAGCTGGGGGCACCTTAGGCCAAAGGCACCTATATCGGGGACGCAGTGACTGACCCAAGTTAATGCACACCTGGGTCGGTCAGGCCTTGCAAGATCATATCCTCCACCCTCCTCTGCAGGATCCTACCAGACCCTGCGCGCAAGCCCGGGCTGGTCTGGCCCTGCAGGATCCTGCAGACCCCAGCTTGCATTGACTCCCCTCCCTAACAGCTCGACTTCAGCAACCCTCGATCGATGCGCCGAAAAAGCCTGGGCCAGAGGCCTGGGCCAGAGGTCTTGGGCCTGAGGCCCGGGGTACCCTTGACCTGGCAGGGTCGGCCTACCAATCTGGGCCGACTGTATTGGTGTTGGTGTCAACCCCCAGGCCCCCGAGAGTCGACCCCGCTTCATCCCGTCGCCCAGCTGCCTTCCCAGCGTCATCCCTCTCCATTTGTCATGTCTGTGTGGCGGCCTGCTGAACTGGACATGGGAAGATGGAGCCAGAGGGTCACGCCGTATCGCCGCTACATCGGCGACGGCGGGATGGCAGGAGAGAGCGGGCTCCAGATCGTGCAGCGTCGGCGATGCATCGGCGGTGCCGCCGCGATCTTCCGACCCTTTTTCAAGAGGCCTGGTTTGTAGGCATCGCTGCGACCAGCCATGGTCGTTTGTTCATCGTGCGAAGGCTGTCCGCAGCCAGGGCAAGTCGGGCCCGTGCAGAACGGCGATGCCGTCTTCCCAAACATGGGGGACCAATGTGTTTGAGACGTATATGCTTTCTCCGGCGCTACCGTTCTCGTGCGTCCGGGAGGCACAAGGCACAAGGGAGGACGAGGAGGCAGAGGAAGGACGAACTGTGAAGCCAGAGTGGCACATCCTGGTCTCCAAGGTCGATCACTCAACAATGAAATAAATAGCTGGCCACGCTGGAAGATAGGGAAACAAACGGCCCAACGGGCCAGAGGCGGGCTAAGATCTCCGGTAACTGCTAAATAATACTTATACTTCGCGCGCGTGGGGCGGCCCCTGGGGGTCCCCGGACGAAAGTACCCCGGGCGATCCCCGGCAGACTCGGGTCAGAGATGGTTTTCCTCCTGGGCGCCGCCCCCGTGGCTCTCCAGAGAGCCCCAAGAAGGGCCACGAGGCCGCCAAGAGCCCTCCAAGATGGTTCAAGAGTGCTCCGAGATGCCACACGATCATTCCAAGACGCCCAAGATGGCCCCCAGACGCCCCAAGAGGCCTCCAAGAGCACTCCCCAGAGGGCCCCAAGAGGCAAAATTCATTACGCTACCGAGGAACCCCACATACTTAATTTAAATCTTATGTGTTTGCTTATGTATATATATATATATATATATATATATATATATATATATATATATATATATATATATATGCACAATCCTGCGTTCTGGGCCCTCGTCGCGAATGTTCCCTGCTAGGCTTTGCGCCAGTGTCGTGGATAGCGGCCGAGCTGAGAGACCACCCCCTGCGCACCCCCTGTGGTGTCGAGAAAGTGCCACGCCTGCTAGCCTTTGCGCCAGTGTCGTGGATAGCGGCCGAGCTGAGAGACCACCCCCTGCGCACCCCCTGTGGTGTCGAGAAAGTGCCACGCCTGCTAGGCTTTGCGCCAGTGTCGTGGATAGCGGCCGAGCTGAGAGACCACCCCCTGCGCACCCCCTGTGGTGTCGAGAAAGTGCCACGGCTGCAAAGCTTTGCGCCAGTGTCGTGGATAGCGGCCGAGCTGAGAGACCACCCCCTGCCCACCCCCTTTGGTGTCGAGAAAGTGCCACGCCTGCTAGGCTTTGCGCCAGTGTCGTGGATGGCGGCCGAGCTGAGAGACCACCCCCTGCGCACCCCCTGTGGTGTCGAGAAAGTGCCACGCCTGCTAGGCTTTGCGCCAGTGTCGTGGATAGCGGCCGAGCTGAGAGACCACCCCCTGCGCACCCCCTGTGGTGTCGAGAAAGTGCCACGCCTGCTAGGCTTTGCGACAGTGTCGTGGATAGCGGCCGAGCTGAGAGACCACCCCCTGCGCACCCCCTGTGGTGTCGAGAAAGTGCCACGCCTGCTAGGCTTTGCGCCAGTGTCGTGGATAGCGGCCGAGCTGAGAGACCACCCCCTGCGCACCCCTGTGGTGTCGAGAAAGTGCCACGCCTGCTAGGCTTTGCGCCAGTGTCGTGGATAGCGGCCGAGCTGAGAGACCACCCCCTGCGCACCCCCTGTGGTGTCGAGAAAGTGCCACGCCTGCTAGGCTTTGCGCCAGTGTCGTGGATAGCGGCCGAGCTGAGAGACCACCCCCTGCGCACCCCCTGTGGTGTCGAGAAAGTGCCACGCTGCTAGGCTTTGCGCCAGTGTCGTGGATAGCGGCCGAGCTGAGAGACCACCCCCTGCCCACCCCCTGTGGTGTCGAGAAAGTGCCACGCCTGCTAGGCTTTGCGCCAGTGTCGTGGATAGCGGCCGAGCTGAGAGACCACCCCCTGCGCATCCCCTGTGGTGTCGAGAAAGTGCCACGCCTGCTAGGCTTTGCGCCAGTGTCGTGGATAGCGGCCGAGCTGAGAGACCACCCCCTGCGCACCCCCTGTGGTGTCGAGAAAGTGCCACGCTTGCTAGGCTTTGCGCCAGTGTCGTGGCGGCCGAGCTGAGAGACCACCCCCTGCCCACCCCCTTTGGTGTCGAGAAAGTGCCACGCCTGCTAGGCTTTGCGCCAGTGTCGTGGATAGCGGCCGAGCTGAGAGACCACCCCCTGCGCACCCCCTGTGGTGTCGCGAAAGTGCCACGCCTGCTAGGCTTTGCGCCAGTGTCGTGGATAGCGGCCGAGCTGAGAGACCACCCCCTGCGCACCCCCTGTGGTGTCGAGAAAGTGCCACGCCTGCTAGGCTTTGCGCCAGTGTCGTGGATAGCGGCCGAGCTGAGAGACCACCCCCTGCGCACCCCCTGTGGTGTCGAGAAAGTGCCACGCCTGCTAGGCTTTGCGCCAGTGTCGTGGATAGCGGCCGAGCTGAGAGACCACCCCCTGCGCACCCCCTGTGGTGTCGAGAAAGTGCCACGCCTGCTAGGCTTTGCGCCAGTGTCGTGGATAGCGGCCGAGCTGAGAGACCACCCCCTGCGCACCCCCTCGCTGCCACGGCCGCCAGTTGCTTGCGCCCCCTGTGGTGTCGAGAAAGTGCCACGCCTGCTAGGCTTTGCGCCAGTGTCGTGGATAGCGGCCGAGCTGAGAGACCACCCCCTGCGCACCCCCTGTGGTGTCGAGAAAGTGCCACGCCTGCTAGGCTTTGCGCCAGTGTCGTGGATAGCGGCCGAGCTGAGAGACCACCCCCTGCGCACCCCCTGTGGTGTCGAGAAAGTGCCACGCCTGCTAGGCTTTGCGCCAGTGTCGTGGATAGCGGCCGAGCTGAGAGACCACCCCCTGCGCACCCCCTGTGGTGTCGAGAAAGTGCCACGCCTGCTAGGCTTTGCGCCAGTGTCGTGGATAGCGACCGAGCTGAGAGACCACCCCCTGCGCACCCCCTGTGGTGTCGAGAAAGTGCCACGCCTGCTAGGTTTGCGCCAGTGTCGTGGATAGCGGCCGAGCTGAGAGACCACCCCCTGCGCACCCCTGTGGTGTCGAGAAAGTGCCACGCCTGCTAGGCTTTGCGCCAGTGTCGTGGATAGCGGCCGAGCTGAGAGACCACCCCCTGCGCACCCCCTGTGGTGTCGCGAAAGTGCCACGCCTGCTAGCCTTTGCGCCAGTGTCGTGGATAGCGGCCGAGCTGAGAGACCACCCCCTGCGCACCCCCTGTGGTGTCGAGAAAGTGCCACGCCTGCTAGGCTTTGCGCCAGTGTCGTGGATAGCGGCCGAGCTGAGAGACCACCCCCTGCGCACCCCCTGTGGTGTCGAGAAAGTGCCACGCCTGCTAGCCTTTGCGCCAGTGTCGTGGATAGCGGCCGAGCTGAGAGACCACCCCCTGGTGTCGAGAAAGTGCCACGCCTGCTAGGCTTTGCGCCAGTGTCGTGGATAGCGACCGAGCTGAGAGACCACCCCCTGCCCACCCCCTTTGGTGTCGGGAAAATGCCACGCCTGCTAGGCTTTGCGCCAGTGTCGTGGATAGGGACCGCGGTGAGAGACCACCCCCTGCGCACCCCCATTTGGTGTCGAGAAAGTGCCACGCCTGCTAGGCTTTGCGCCACCCCCTGCGCACCCCCTGTGGTGTCGAGAAAGTGCCACGCCTGCTAGGCTTTGCGCCAGTGTCGTGGATAGCGGCCGAGCTGAGAGACCACCCCCTGCCCACCCCCTGTGGTGTCGAGAGAGTGTCACGCCTGCTAGGCTTTGCGCCAGTGTCGTGGATAGCGGCCGAGCTGAGAGACCAACCCCTGCGCACCCCCTGTGGTGTCGAGAAAGTGCCACGAGCTGTGCTGTGCTGTGCTGAGCTGAGCCGTGCTGGGCTGTGCTGAGCTGTGCTGAGCTGTGCTGTGTGCTGAGCTGAGCTGAGCTGTGTGCTGTGCTGAGCTGAGCTGTGCTGTGCTGTGCTGTGCTGTGATGTGCTGTGCTGTGCTGAGCTGTGCTGTACGAAGAGTGAGTTGTGTGTCGCGGGTGCGGCGCGGCAGGGAAGAAAACCAGAACCCCACGAAGCATGTGGGGAATTACTTTTCGTTAGGTTTTGGGCAGATTTTGGCGTGTCCATCTTTTCGGCTTCCCGACGCCCCAAAACGGCCCAAGAGGCCCCCAAGATCGCCCCAAGAGGGCCCAAGAAGCTCCCAAGAAGGCCCCAAGATGGCCCAAGAGGGCTCCAAGACGGCCCCAGAGGCGTCCAAGATGGCCCAAGATGGGCCCAAGAGGGCCCAAAGCGATGCCCCAAAGGGGGAACACAAAACAAAACTTCGAGCCCTCGGCCTTAAGAAGCCCCCAGGAGGCCTCAAGAGGCCCCTGAGAGGCCCCAAAAGCCCCCAAGAGGCCCTCAGGAGGCCCCCAGGCGACGCTGAAGAGGCCCCCCAGCGGCCCCAAGAGGCTCAGTCATGCGAAATGGGCCGGCGGAATGAGCGAAGCGATTCAATAAATACCTGGCCACGCTGGAAGATAGGGAAACAAACAAACAACTTCGAAAGTCCGCGCGGATTCCTAGGAACGGGGCTGGAGCCCTCTTGCAGCGCCTCCGGCGCCGCCCCTGGCGCGCTTCGCGTGCCGGGGAGGGGGCTCCAGCGCCGATCCGAGAAATCCTCGCGGACCTCCGAGTTCTTAGGTTTGCATCAGAAGAGAAAGACGATAGAGGAATCGAACACGGGAGGGAGAATCGGGCCGGATGAAAGGGGGGATAGGGAAAGGGGAGGGTGCGAAACCTGCTGCATGCAGCTGGTCTCGGCCCCACCGAAGGGCCCATTCCTCGATGCATGGCCGCCTCCGGCGCCGGGAGGCGCTGGGAAAATCAGCGACGTGAGCCGATCTTTGGAGTCCCGAAACGGTGCGGTGACAGACCGTGCGGTGACCTCGAAATCCCCCAAGACCTCACCGCACGGTCCGTCACCGCACGGTCTTGGGACCCCAGAGGCCCCCGTCGCCCGAGACATCCTCGGAGAACGACCCGAGTCCCAAAACCGCGCGGTGACCCCGAATCCCCACCGACTCACCGCACGGTGCGGTCACCACCCCGTTAGGGGACCCCCGACGATCCTCAAACCTCCCCTTCGCTACCCCCCCCTTTCGCCCAGCCCGGGAGAAGATCTCTGGACCACGGCTCCACGGAGGCGGCTCCGCGAGGCCCCCCTTTGCTCCGACGATTCTCAAACCTCTCCTTTGCTTCGGGGATGGACAGACCCCCCTTTAGCAAAACGTGGTTTAGTGAAAACGACCTGAGGCCCAAACCTGGCGGGCGCAAGCCTGGAAAATAACGGCCACGGCGCCCTCTCGAGAACCGAAAACGGACAATTCACTAATCGACGTGTCACTGTTGGGGGTTCTGTCCACCCCCGATTGCTATCCCCCCCTTTCGCCCAGCCCGGGAGAAGATCTCCGGACCACGGCTCCACGGAGGCGGCTCCGCGAGGCGCCGTCTCGGCCCGCCCGCCCCCTCCCGCGGTCGCCCGGGCCGCCGCACGAGGCACGGGCGGGGCGTCGGGGTGCCACCCTGCCGACGGCGCGCTCGCTCCCCCTCGACCGTTCGGTTCGAAGGGCTGGAAGAAACGCTTTCGTGAACCAGCACTGCATGTCGCTGGAGTCTTCAGGCTACGCCTGTTCGCCACATTCCGATATCGAGATTTCTTCCCAGACATTTGCTGTCTTGGACACCGGCGTTGAGCTTCACCTCGGCAAGCTCGGCCTGCGTTCCTGGCATCGTCCTGGCGCTCCCCTTCTGAGTCCAATGTAACATTGAGGCAGGCTTAGCCAACCACTTTTCCATATAGTGGCTGGGCAGCCCCCAGTCTTTCTCATTTCACGCTTTCGTGAACTTGGGGGGGGAAACGATCTATTGCGCGCAACTCTCTACAGTCGGACTTCCATGGGCAGGGCACGCGAGAGGACACAAGACCCTTCCGAGGGCCACATCGCCACAGGAACGTGGGAAGCATGGGTCGCGAGACACCGGACACAAGGGTACCCTTGATTTGGCAGGGTCGACCTACTAATCTGGGCCGACTATAGCAATGCAGGGAGCATCGGCCGTGATCCTTAGGGGGGGTAAACGATCTATTGCGTTGAGCTCCCTGCTCCGCAGATGCATCAAAGGGCACCGTGCACTCGAAGAGCGGTAGATGACCAACGCAGCAGGTCGCTGCACGGGAGCCTGGCTGAGGAACGAGCGACTTTCGGCGGCGGACAAACCTCCCTTTAGACCTCCCCTTTAGTGAAAACGGCCTGGGACCGAAACCGATGTACCTGGACCCGCAAAAATGACGGCCGCACCGCCCTCTCGCGAACCGAAAACGGCCAATTCCTCAATCGACGTGTCAGGGTAGGAGGTCTGTCCACCCCCGAGACTTCCAGGCGCGAGGAAGAGGACAAGGACGAAGGGCCAGACAGCGTCCGAAAACCCAGGCCCTCGACCCTCCCCTGGCCGCCCCCCGCGGCCCAGCGCTGGCCATCGCTCGGACGTCCATTCCCTGTGTTTTTGTTCGGCTTCGTGCGTGGTCTTTTCGCCAAATGATCAAGGATGCTCCTCGATGGCCCTCGCCGGAGGAAAAATGCACACGTCCGAGCGATGCCAAGAGCGGCTTGATGGCGAGCCCGCCGAGGCCGAGGCCGCCGCAACCGCCGCCGTAGCCGCCGCCGTCGCCTCCGCCGCCGCCCTCGTGGGCATATGGTCGCAGCCCTCGCCAACGTGGTCGTAGTCCTCGTCGTCGCCGGCACCGCGGCGGTGCCTTCGTCGTCGTCGCCGCCGCCGCCGCCGCGGCCGCCGCCCTCGCCGGCGTGGTCGCAGCAGTCTTCATCCCAGAGATCCGACGTCGTGATTTTTTCAGTGCGCGGTCCCCGGACGTCTCGACCCCTTCCCTTGGACCGGTTGTTTCATCCTCAGTCGTTTCCTCACGGCCCCGAGGCCCGGCGAGGGCCCCCAGGGGCCGAAATCTGCGAAAAACCTCCGTCTTGACTTTTTCTCCACTCGCCATCGCTCGGACGTCCATTCCTCGTGTATTGTTCGATTTCGTGCGTGCTTTTTTTACCTAACAGCTCTTGCTGATAGGTTTCTAGTGGTCTCAAAAGAGAGCATCATGACTCCTCAGGGGGGTCTGGGCGGGACCCGGGGAGGCTGCCGTCGAAGCCGAAATCGCTTGGGACATCCTCACAAAATCGCTCTTGGTGCTCCCAGAACTCCACTCCCGGGCCACATTTTGGATGCCCGGAGCCAACTGTAGGCCACTTCGTGCTCTTCGACTTCCCAGAACTCTATTCCCGGGCCACATTTTGGATGCCCGGAGCCAACTGTAGGCCACTTCGTGCTCTTCGACTTCCCAGAACTCCATTCCCGGGCCACATTTTGGATGCCCGGAGCCAACTGTAGGCCACTTCGTGCTCTTCAAGTTCCCAGAACTCCATTCCTGGGCATGATTTTGAATGCCCGGAGCCAACTGTAGGCCACTTCGTGTTCTTCTAGTTCCCAGAACTCCATTCCTGGGCCACATTTTGAATGCTGAGGCAGGCTGATGCTGCGGCCGAGGCAGGCTGAGGCTGAGGCCGAGGCTGAAGGCAGACTGAGGCTGAGGCTGAGGCAGGCTGAGGCTGAGGCTGAAGCAGGCTGATGCTGAGGCAGGCTGAGGCTGAGGCTGAGGCTGATGCAGGCTGAGGCTGAGGCAGGCTGAGGCTGAGGCCGAGGCTGAAGGCAGACTGAGGCTGAGGCTGAAGCAGGCTGAGGCTGAGGCTGAGGCAGGCTGAGGCTGAGGCAGGCTGAGGCTGAGGCTGAGGCAGGCTGAGGCTGAGGCTGTGACTGCGACTGCCGTTGCCGCTGCGACTGTCATCGCGAATGCGACTACGACTGCGAGAACAGCAGAATTCTACAACTGGATTTTCATCTGAATCTTCAGGGGAATGCTTTCAGATATGCTTCTACACATCGCTGTTAGGTTGCTTTGCCGGGATAATTTGTCGCCAAATGACCAAGGATGGTCCTCGATGGCCGTCGCCGAGAAAAAATGCACACGTCCGAGCGATGCCAAGTCCATGCGTCGGACCTCTGGGCCCGTCGCCGCTGCCGCCGTGGCCATGACCCGTGGCGGCCTGCGGCTGCGCCCGCGGCGGCGCCCGGGAGCTCGAGGCCCGCCGCCGACCACCGGCCGGCGGCGGCGGAGAGGCCGCGGGCGCCCCCCGCGGCCGCGTCCATCGTCCCCCACACGGGGGGGCGCTGGCGGCGCGGCGGGGGCGCGGCGGGGCGGGCCCCGCCGCCCATATCAGAGGGAGAGGAGGAGGAGGAGGAGGAGGAGGAGGAGGAGGAGGAGGAGGAGGAGGAGGAGGAGGAGGAGGAGGAGGAGGAGGAGGAGGCACGCGCCTGTCTGGTCGTTGGTTTGCCAATTTTTCGGAGGAGGTGCTGGGAGTAGCCTGGGCTTCGGCCAGTCCCCTGGTGAGCAGCAAGGGTTGGCGGTGCGCATGCGTCGGATCCGTGGAAATCGGCAGGCTGGTGGGGAGGGCCCCCGTTGAGACACCAGAATCCAAGTCGGAATCCGAAGTCGAACCGACTCGGAATCGAAGCCATCGAAACCGAATTGACTCGGATCGAAGGAGTCGCAGTGAGCCCCGTGCCCCCCCCCCCGCATTGGCAGCGCGAACGAAGGGTCAGGGGGAGAGGGAAGGCTTCTTAAAGGAGGTTGCTCCGTAGAGGGCGCCAGCAATACATCATAAGAGGCCCACGCCTTCAAAGCAGCAGGGATGCTTCTAAGAAGCCTTCCCTCGTTCCTCTACCCTTCTTGGCACGTGGCAGAAAGGGAGGAATGCCATTCGACCCTTGAAGTAGGAAGGCACTTGATGTAGATGGGATATGGGGATACTAGAACACCTACTCTCAACACCGCGTTCAAAGTCCCGAGTCCCCTCCGTCGCAGACACCCATTACGCACCGACGGCACTACAACACACGGACGGGGTGCTTCGCCGAGGAATCGGGGCTGATACCCGGTCAGAACAGTAAAACAGTGTGCGGAAGGCAGACACCCACAATCAGTACTAGCACGTGCCAACTGGCCATGCAAATCATGAAGAAGAGTTTGGGAAGTCGGCTGCATGCTGCGGATACTCCTGACCCCATGGGTAGCTGGGGAGCCTGAGCTTATCCACCTCGTCATAATCATCAACAACGGTATCACCATCACCATCACCGTCACCATGTCACCAGGATCACGCTGATAACCCTGATCATCATGAATGCCATGAGTGACAAATTATGATGATATCGATCATGACAACGAGCATCATCATGTTCATCATGATCATCATCGTCGTCATCATCATCATCAGCATCAGAATCACCATCATCACAACCACCATCATCATCCGATTCATCGTCATCATCACCACCATCATCATCAGCAACATGTGTTTATCGTCATCGGCATGATCAACATCATCATGGTAATCATCATTATAATCAGCATCGTCATCATCATCGGCATCGGCATCGTCATCGTCATCAGCATCGTCAGCATCATCGTCTCCATCCTCATCTTCATCGTCATCCCCATCATCTAAAACATAATCATCGTCAATATCGGCGGCATCGTCAACATCATCATCGCCACCATCATAATCATCATCATCAACATAACAATCATCAGCATCATCCGCATCATCATCGTCACCATCACAATCGCCATCGCCAGCACTACCATCATCATCAAACGCATCATTACCAGCAAACTCTTCATCCTCATACTCATCTTAGTTCTCATCCTCATCGTCATCCTCAATGGATCACCACACTCATCATCATCATCATCAGCAGCATCATCAGCACCATAATCATCAGTATCATCATCATCATCGAGCTCGTCAGCAGCATCATACTCATCATCGTTACCATCATCACCACAATCATCATCAGTATCAGCATCAGCATCAGCATCAGCATCAGTATCATCATCATCATCATCATCATCATCATCATCGCCATCACCACCATCATCATCAGCGCAAAATCATGGTCATCAGTATCAGCAACAAAATCAGCATCAGGCTCATCACCATCATCATCGCCATCATCAACACCATCACCATCACCATTACCGTCACCATCGTCACCAGCATCCGCATCCGCATAAGCATCAGCATAAGCATAAGCATAATCAGCACCAGCATCAGCAGCAGCAGCATCATCATTGTCATCATCATCATCATCATCATCATCATCATCATCATCATCATCATCATCATCATCATCATCATCATCATCATCGACATCATCATCATCATCATCATCATCATCATCATCATCATCATCATCATCATAACCATCGTCGTCTACTTTAGCACCTACTCCAGAGTTTGGGTGCTGCCTTTCCCAATACATACCCCTTCAACTTCCCTCCAATTACCAATATGTGCGTGGTTCGGCGCTACTGCCGTGGCTGGGAATTGCTCTGACACCAGTCCGAGGGATTCGATAAATCTGCGAAAATCCCAAAAACTTGATTCGGGAAAATTCACTGGTTTCAACGCCGGTGTCGACGCGACGATGCTGCATCTGCTGCCGGATTCCATTGAAGCAAGCATATTGGTTCCTGGAGCTTGGCTTGCTTGATGCCCGCCCGTTTTTCATCTGCTGGCTTGACGCTGGCCCGCTTCTCGGGCCAGCAATGGGGTTACAGAGAAATCGCTTTGAACGGCCCCTTGATGACAGAAACATCAGACTCAAGCTGGGTTCGCTCACCCTGCCGCCCACCGTGGCCAAATTCCCCCTCCACGTAGCCTCGATTGACGCTGGCCCGCCCCTCCACGACGCTGGCCCGCTTCTTCCACTGTAGAGCCCTCTCTGAGAGCTCGGCTTCTGCTCCTCCTGCTATTCGTGATCCGCGCGCAGGTGCGACTACGATAGAGTCAAGGCGAAAGCAGGCGCAGGAGTGAGCGAGAGAAGCTCCACCTCCTCCTCCTGCTCCTCCTCCCTCCCCCTCCTCACTGAGCAGGGAGGTGGTAGGCGCACTGCTCAGGAGGTCCGCACCAAGCGAGCCTCAAGCATAGGAAGCTCCACATTACAGTGGTGAGGCTTGCTCGTGCGTCAAGCAACTAGCAGCAGCCTTACCACGAGGTCAGAGGATTGCTGAGATCCTTGCGCTTGGCCTCGACAGAGAGGCAACGGCAACCACGACAAGCACGTGTTTGCGATGTGTGCCTACGGTGTCGTGTTCATGTGGAGTTGCCGTTCCACCGAGGATAGAGCTCCGAGAAAAACGCCGACGTTGTGGCACATGAGCAGTCTGCGGAGCTTTTCACGCATGCGATGGCGCAGCATGAGGCGGACGAGGTTTTCTGATTGCGAGGCCTCATGGTTCGTGCCGGGACATCGGTCACTCCGCCGATGCAGCAGGAAAGGTGGTTAGGCAGCGGCGAGCTCGAGAACGGAATCGGCGACGGCTCATTCGGCGCGGGCTGTCCCCGGCAACCGACCATCGTGTTTGGGGATGCCAGCGGGGGAACTGATTCCAACCATCCCCGCTTTCGGGGATTCGGGTGCGGGCTGATTAGGGTTCAGTCGGAGTCACAGCTCGAGATCATTGGCGCGCTGATGGGAACCCTTCCTGGTGAACAGTCGGTGCCAAGAGGAGAGCTGATGATGTAGCTGATGGCGGCCAAACTCGCCACAGACCACGCAATGTACATTCCAGATAATCAGATGTTGTGCGATAGTTGGTCCCGCGAGAAGTACCAGCAACCAAAAAGGGACAGCTCGCAGAGTTGTGGGCAAACGTCGGATACGTGCTTAGGTGTCGCTGTTCAAGGCGTTTGGTCGTCCTGTTCGTCAGTCCGCCCTTGGCAGCGGAAGAGGCAGCTGCAGCGAGTACCCCGAGCTGACGCGTGCAGGGCACAGCGCCATGCCAAAAAACGGTAGCCGGAGAGGCGTCTGCCCAGGCGCGCTTGCCACAGTTGAAAAGGCCCTGGGACACACAAATCAACACACACACACAAATAAAAATATGCCCCATATTTCCCTATATTTTCCGGGTTTTTGTCTTCCCGCCCAATTCCCATATTTTCCCATATTCTCTTGGGAATCGACGATAAATTGTGTCTACGTGATTTTTCCCCTCCTGAACAGCAGGGGGCGTGTTCGAGTGGGCCAAGTTGCGCATCGCGCGCTCTTGGTCAGCCGGGCCGGGCGAAGGGGGGGGGATAGCATAAGGGGGGGGTTGAGAATCAGCTCACGTAGCTGATCTTTCCGGCGCCTCCCGGCGCCGGAGGCGACCGTGTATCGAGGGATGGGCCCCTCGGAGGGGCCGAAACCAGCTGCATGCAGCAGATGTAGTAACCCCCGCCCCGGTCGCAGCCCCCCCCCTTTCGTCTGGCCCGAGTCAGGATGCAGCTCCTCAGGGCCGCGGTCGACTCCCCAGAGGCCGGAGCCGAGGCCGCGGCACAGGAGCGAGGGCGGCGCCTGGGAAGGAAGGCGTCTCTAGGTGATCTCGGATTCGTGCCTCCTCCTCCTCCTCCTCCTCCTCCTCCTCCTCCTCCTCCTCCTCCCTGTCCTCCTCCTCCTCCCTGTCCTCCTCTTCCTTTTCCTCCTCCTCCTCCTCCTCTTCCTCCTCCTCCTGTGTTGCCTCCGCTGTGCCCCGAGGCGGTGTCCGTGCTGTTTCGCGCCCATGCGCTTGACGTGCCCATGCGCTTGACGAATCGGGGGGCGCACAGTGAGCCCGTATAGCAGGACGCACAATAAGGCTGCAAGGGCCTTGGAAGGCCATGCCGACACTTTGCGGGCGGGACGCGGACAGCGCAAGCGCCATAGGCTGGGCCGAAGGGGAGGGATGCAACCTCTGGCCATCGCTCGGACGTCCATTCCCTGTGTTTTTTTCGGTTTTGTGCGTGTTTGTTCCCCCAAGTGATCAAGGATGCTCCTCGATGGTCCTCGCCGAAGGAAAAATGCACACGTCCGAGCGATGCCAAAGACTATGTGGGTCGACTGTAGGTGCCGCAGGTGCCGAGGCTCTTCGTCGATTGCGGAGCTCAGACGGTGGAGAGCGTCCCCATGCTCTAAGCCCCTCACGTTAGATGGCCTCCCATTCCTCAGGGGGGGAGGAGCTGAACTTAAGTGGCCCAGGGACACACGCACACATAGACACCAATACCAGAGTTTCCTGTACTTGTCCATCTTTTCTGAGTTTCGTCTTCCCCCCCAACTTCCCATATGTGCCCATAGTTTCCTGAGGATCGACGTTTATGTGTGTGTGTGTCTGTATGTTGTTTCCCCTTCTGATGCACATCACTGGGGGATGCGTGCATGGGTCTCACTGCTTCCGCTGTCAAGATGCGAATATTTGATTATGCGCTGTGTGCGGCTTGTTTGCAAACAAGCAGCTTTCATGGCTGGATGAGAAGTGCCTGGGTAAGGCCACCCCACCCGTGCTGGTTGTCCCACCAGAAATCAAAACGGTGTGTGGCCCGAGGATTACAGCAAACCCGAGTTGGCCACGAGAGCCCTGATCCTTGGCTGCCAGACAAAGCTTCTCGCTCGCCTGGCCTCGCAGCGCCGACGCCGGCGCTGACGCCAACGCCATCGCCAAAGCCGACGCCGACGCCGACGACGTCGCCGCCGACACCGACGCCGACGCCGACGCCGACGCCGATGCCGACGCCGCGGCCGCGGCCGACGAGCACGACGATGATGATGATGATGATGATGATGATGATCATGATGATGATGATGATGATGATGATGATGATGACGATGACGATGATGATGACGATGTTGATGCTGCTGATGATGATGATGATGATGATGATGATGATGATGATGATGATGATGATGATGACGATGACGGCGACGGCGACGGCGACGGCGACGGCGACGGCGACGGCGACGGCGACGGCGACGGCGACGACGACGACGACGACGGCGACGACGACGACTCGCTCGCCACCCGCCCGACCCACCCCCCATGCGCCCAGCCTCATCGCTTGTCAAACCCCTCGCTATCCCTTATCCACCAGCTCCGAGAAACGAAGAAAGCATAACAAAACAAATCGGAGGCGTTGTCGTCGTTGTCGTCGTCATCGTCGTCAGACTCATCCCACTTCAGGGTCGGCGGCACCAGCCGCAGGGCCTTCGCAATGATGGCGTACGCAAGCACTTTCGGAGGCCCACGCGGACTCCATGGATCGGCGCTGGACCCCCCCACCTGGCGCGCATGACTCGTTTCCCCGATCTCCCTCCACTCGCCCTCTTCGAAGGAGCCCGGGGTGACACAAATGAATGGCAACACATCCAAGATTCCCTAGATATTGACATGTTTTCTGGACTGTCGTCATCTCCTCCATCTCCCATGTGAGCTCGTTGCTCCTGGAAATCAGCGCGAGTGTATATGTAAATCTGTATTCCTCTCCTGACCCTTCCCTGCCTCATTCGGCCTCGTCCTACCCGGACTCCCAGCCACTTCCTCGCCGCCGGCCGTCCTTTGAGCAGGGACCGACCGTCCCGGCACTCCTATAGTCCTACCACGACATGTTCTTAGATCCCAAAGATGTTCAAAGAACAAAAACAATGTTCTTAGAACATCAGCCCGATGCGTTAAAACAAGACAGCCCCAGCCAGAAATGTTCTAAGAACATGTCGGGGAAACCGCACAAGGTTCTTAGAACACTGTTTGGTAGGCCCATAAGCACGCCAAGACGCTTCGCCACTGCTTGACCTACCCGGACTCCCAGCCGCTTCCTCACCGCCGGCCGTCCTGAGGCGACTCCCCCGCGGGCGCCGTTTTTTTGTCGCGCGGCCGCCCGACGGCCCGGCACGCGTCAGTCCAGGTTCGAGAAGTCGAGCTGCCCCGCGGCGGCGGCCTGCAGGATCTTGGCGCCGGCGTGGCTCTTCCACGCCACCGCGGCGTCCAGCGGCGTCCTCAGGGGGCCACGTGCGAAGCCTGCCCCTGCCCCCCACGACTTCTGAGGGGGAGGGTGGGCTTCACTTCGTTCGGGAGCTCCCAAGCGAAGTGAACCCCACCCTCCCCCTCTGAAATCGTGGGGGGTAGGGGTCGGGTTCGCATGCGGTCCCCTAGTTTGAGCAGGGACCGACCGTCCCGGCATTCCTATAGTCCTACCGCGAAATGTTCTTAGAACGCAGAAATGTTCTGATAATAAAAGAGATGTTCTTAGAACATAAACCTGATGTGTTAAACCAAGACAGTCCCAGCCAGAAATGTTCTAAGAACATTTCGTGGAAACCACAAGAGGTTCTGAGAACATTGTTTGGCGGGGTTATAGGCGAGCCAGGGCGCTTCGCCACTGCTTGACTAGTCCTGCCGGACAGGTCCCCGAGGGACGGGTCCGCGCGCGCCTCGAGGAGCAGCCAGAGGACCTCCTGGGCGCAGCCGCCCAGCACGGCGCGCATCAGCGGGGTCTCCTGCAGGAAGCCGTCCGCACGGTTGGGGTCCGCGCGGTGCTGCAGGAGCACCTCCACCGCCGCCGCGGATCCGCAGCCGGCCGCCAGCAGCAGCGCGGTCTCGCCCGCGACCTCGTGGTCCACGGCGACGTCACCGCCCGCCAGGAAGCTTCTGCACGCACCGGCGTCGCCACTTCTGGCCGCCTCGTGGAGCGCATCCTCGCGAGCCGCGATCCTCGGGGCCAGTTGCGGCGTGGCGGCGGCCCCCAATCTCACGAGCAGGTCTGCCACCGCGCTGTGGCCCGCAGTGACGGCCGTAGCGTGCGCTGAGGTGCCAGAATCGTCGCACAGGTCCTGCCCGCTTTCCCGTCAATATGTTGTTAGTCTCTCTCTCCCTCTCTCTCTCTCTCTCTCTCTCCCTGGCTCTCTCTCTCTCTCTCTTTCTATGTGTGTGTGTTTGTGTGTGAGTGGGTCTCTCTGCCCCTTTTTTCCGATCTCTCAACCGATGTCTATATATACACACATGTAGACATACTTATGTTTTTTATTATGCCAGGTTACCTTACGGTGTCTCAAGTGGGTTAGATACTGACTCGCACTTAGCATTGCTCAGCTGCCTATACACAAGCTTCACATGCGTGCAAATCCAATACACCTACCCTCGCTCGTGCATGCACTGGAGACTGCAAGCAGGTGGGCGTGGCCTCGCCGTCGAGCCTCGCGTCGCGCCTCGCGATCGGCCAGGTCGAGCGTTGCCACAATCTCTGGCGGGAGGGGAGGGGGAGCGGTGTGCATCAATTGCGCCCAACAGCGCTGACGTCGGCTATCTGATAGGTGCGCAATGCAACGCAATCTCTGCTTAAAGTCAGTCTTGCATACTGGACAAATCCCACGCTCGTCTACATACAGGCGGGCAGGGCATCTGAGCATGTGTTTCGTACGCTGGTGCATATTCAACGCCATGCTGGTGAGAAAGGCAGGGCGATTTGGACAGATGCCGCAGACAAGCGGGAGCTCGGTCCCCCCAGGGGGGGGGGGCTGCCCTTGCGACGTCGACGACGACGGGACATATGACGCGTCACATACAGACGTGCAAAAGAAGATTCGCTGCACACGTTCCCTCCAGGATGCAAGGTCTTGCAGGATAAACTCGTGCCAAACACTAGCATACAAGATGGGATCGGGGAGCAGGGAGAAGGCGGGCACGCGTCTCCAAACCATGCTCAGGTCGTCCTGGAGCTGCCTAACCCAATCAAGGGTCCTCTGGTGGTGGCGGAACTGTAGGACAGCCTGGAGCGGGCCTGGGAAGGTCGGCTTAACTGCTCACGAATACGCACATCTGAAAACTTCGCCTCTCCGAAGTTGGGGTCGCCCGCAATGCGTCGAAGGATGCGCATGTGTGGGCCGTTGAGTGCGCGTATGTACTCAGGCGTGCAATACATGATGTGGCTGTTTAGCAACAACCTACCATGGATGAGGAGAGAGTCAGCGAGCGCTAGACGGACACTCTGACAAAGCTCGGTGGCACCAAACACTTTACGGGAAATAGGGACGTAGGCGCTCATGGTCTGTGAAATCTTATGGTCGGCGTCTCGCTTCAGACGACCATCGGGAGTCACGACACACCCTAGATGTTTGTACTCATCGACTACATGCAGAGAGATGTCAAACTCTGGAAACTTGAAACAGCGTTGATTTCCGCATTTCAATCGAGCGTAGTGCCTGCTACTCTGCTTACCTCTGTACACTACCATGCACTCTGACTTGCCGGGCTTCCAGTTGATCTCTAGAGCGAACGCTGCAAACGTGGGATTCGCTTTCATTCGCGCGTGGATGGCGGAAATGAGGCGAGTGGGGGTGGAGGCGAGCAACACGAGGCACTCGTCATCAACAAAAACCGCATCCATAACGTGCTCTTCGTGCAAAACACGTGCTCCGTCGTGCGGACTTGCATTCCAAAACGGGCCTTCGCTGCGAGACAGCCGGAGCCCGAGTCCTAGCTTAGCAAGCTCGGAAAACAACATGAAGAGTGCGATGCTGTACGCTCCGGTAAACATAACTGTGCCAAACACGCACCCTTGGCGACCACCTGTGAATGTCTGCACTACTTCATGGAGGTCGGCATACTGAAACCACGCCATGCGGTGCAATCTAGCTATGAGCTCAGCCGCCTTTGGGTCTACCTGCCACTGCTGGAAGGCTGAGCCGTACATGCCTAGATATACAATGATCTTTCGAGCAGTCTCGGTGGACGCACCTAGTGACCCAACATATGTGAGAAGGTCTGCGAGCTGCTCATCTGTCATGCCGTACACAAGCTCGCGTATAACACGATCGAACGCTTTAAATAAATCGAGGAAGAGCACAAACACGCACGCGTCCTGAAGCCTAGCCATGTTGATTAACATGAGCACGAGATGTGAGGCAAAATATGTGCCACGCTTGGCGGTGGCGCCGCACTGCATGCTGGGCTGGCGTGCGTTATACTTACTATCGAGCACGGACCTTAGCTGATAGAAAAAAACCTTTGGCAGAGTGGTCAGTAAGACGGATCCCTCGAAAGCTATCAGGATCTTCAACGCTGCCTTTCTTTTTATATAGATCAACGAGCCTACCTCCGGTCCAGGACAGAGGCCATCGTTCCTGCTCGACAATCTTGACATGAAGTTCCGAAAACTTTACTGCGAGCGAATCAACAGCCGATCGAATTAGCTCACCTGGTATGCCATCGTTGCCTACACCCTTGTTATTCTTTAACAGCATGAATGCACGACGCGCGGCACACGGTGTGATGCACAGCGCGCTCGACTCTGCACAGTGCTGAAAGCGCGGTGGCGCGGCCGCTGAAGCCAATGCCTCAGGGGCCGTCAACCTGCCACGGAAGACCTGGGCGAAGTGGCCGCGCATCAGCATGTCGCGCTCGCCCCGCGCGCTGGCGAGCTCACCGTCAGGCCCGCGCAGCGCGGAGGCTGTCGGCAGCCCGCGCCCTGACAGAGCTCTCGTGATGGCGTAGGTGGTGCGTGAGTCACCCTTGACACGCGCCCACTGCGCCTCCAATGCTTTCATGCCGATCCAGATCTGTCGGTCGGCCTTGACGAGCTTCCTGGAGATCAGCCCGACATCGCGAGCCGCGCGGTGCAGCATGGCAGACATGCGTCGCACCGCTGTCAGCGCGCAGGATGCCTCGGCGTAGGCTGCGCGGGCGCGCCAGCCACGCCGCCCCGCGCCGGCGGACAGGCCGCTCTGTCCGCCCTCTGGCTCGAAGTCGGCGTGCAGCACTGACGCGAAGGCGTGCCGCGCCTTGGCCAGCAGCGCAAGACGTTCAGCGCGAAAGCCTCTGTGACGTAGCCGCACCAGGGGGGCCACCATCTGTACCGCTCCCCATTAGGTCGACGATATCCATGGCTTCCCAGGTCGCTTCTGAGGAGGGCCGAACGTGGCTCGAGCATGTTGCAAGATCCACGCATTCAACTCGGCAAGGTGCTGATCCACTGACCAATCTCTCTGGGACTGGAACGCCCACATCTTCTGATTGAAGCGCTCCACTAGGTGCGGGTCCGAGAGCTTAGTCTTGTCAAAGATCACCCTGCATCTGGTCGCTTTCTCTATCTGAACATCCTTCGGCATTGTCACATCCACCACAACAGGTCTGTGATCAATCGAGCCGTCCAAATTCAGATCAACATTCTCATCCGCATACGCATTGCATATTGTCTGTCTGCGGCTGGCTTTGATACAAACGTAGTCAATGCGGGCCGTAGTCCTGTACGTCGACATCCAGGTCCATGTAATTGGGAAGTCTGTGTTGGCCGCGTACATTTTCGCGTTGCAAAGGCATCGTCGAAAGCGAGCTCCATTGTTGTTCTCTTTGTCCACATGCGCAGGACCAAGAGCGGGAGATCTCACGTTGCCGACTCGAGCGTTGGCGCCAATCAGCAGCATGGGGGAGTAGGAGGGAAACTTGGAGGAGTATTGTGTCAGGTGCCTCTCGAGCATCTCCCAGAAGTCGTCCTTGGAGCGCTTGGTGGAGAACTCGTGTGGGGCGTGCGCTGAGCATATCACTAGCCCTGCGGCCAGTGCCTGCGCCACGCCAACGACTGTGGTGATCCGTGCACTCGGCTGAGTGAACACGTCGGCTGAAAACTGCAGTGAATTCGAAACCCAAACTTCAGAGCCATATCGAAATTCGGGGATCGCACCTGTAAACATTTCGTAGTAGTTACCCACAGCATGACGTTTGATGGTGCTGCGCCCCTCTTGGATGCCCACGATCCCATACCCAGCACCGTGGAACATCATCTGGAGAAGTTCAGTCTTGCTCTTCAGCGACGTGAAGGCATTACGATTGTAGCTAGTTTCATCTTGCCAGGGGAAAAGTGTGCGCACATTTGCAGACGCAAATCGAATTCTTGACGAGTCTGGGCCCCGCTCGTCATGTATCCCCCCTATGCTGTCCGCCTTCTTCAAGGCGGGACTTGCACCTCCGAGGCATCGTCGTTTTTTGCTGACAAGTGGCGGCGATCTCGCTGAGAAGTGGGTGCCCCTGGCGGGCCCTTGCCAACCATCCTGCGCTCCTTGGCATCGCTGTCCCCGTTGGGTTCGTCTGGTCGGGAACGGCGGGCGCCACTGCTCTCGTCCATGGGGACTGTGGCCGTCACATTGGCCATATGAGCAATCTGCTGGATGCCAATCGAAAGCTGCTGCATCAGGTTCTCGGCCCCCGCGACGTGCTGAGGTGGAACCACTCCACCGTCCTGCATGGCTCTCAGGACTGAGTCCATCGCGGAGCTCATCATCTGGATGCAGTTCATCCCGCTTGTCATCGGGAGCTCATGCTGTAACTTGGCGAGCTCGGCCTGGAGCCGCGCCTGCTCTGCTGCAGCCTCCTGCTTGGCTGCGTTGGCACGCTCGATCACCTGCTGGCAGTCGGAGACCCGCTTCTGGGACCTCAAGAGTGCCGCCTTGCATGAGTCGATCTGCGTGCCGAGGGGCCTATGACGTGTGATGGCCATCTTGACCTCCGCAAGCCGTTCCTGCAACTGCTTGCGTTCCGCGTCGAAGCCTGTAAATGGGAGTGCGCTCAGGGCTGCCTCGATCTGCTTGACCTGGGCGTCGCCTGCTGAGCGCTGGTTGTTGGAGTCGGCTGTGCTGCTGGTGGGCTTCGGCTCCGCCGTCGCAGCTGCCAAGTCCGCTTGAAGTTGGTCGATCTTGCCTCGCAGCTCGTGTTGGACCATCTGGCCCGACTGCACGCTCTCGCTGTGCATCGGCTGGTGGAGGCTCTGGTAGTTGGAGTGCGGTGCTGACGTGGTGCTCCACCCTCGCTTGAGACCGCATTTGCTGCACTTCTTGTCTCAGCACCATTCGGAGCAGAACGTGCACTGCCACCACTGCCATGCACCGCCTTGCTGTTGGCGCCATGGCGCTGGTGCGCCGCTGCTCCCGCGGCCCTGCTCGGTCCACGACGTGTGGCTCCCGTGCTGGGAAGCGGCGCCCCATCCAGTCATCTCAGAAGCTCAGGGGAGAACTGGGACGGTGTGGAGCACGTAGGCTTACGTCTCAACTCAAGCCGTGACCCTCATGCTTGAGCCAAAATGGATACGGAGACATACTTATGTACAAGAAATCCGCCGACCCTGTTGGCGTGTGGAAGAGGCTGTTCCGTTTGACTCGTCGTCGTCGTCGCCGTCGTCGTCGTCATTGTCGTCGTCGTCGTCGTCGTCGTCGTCATCGTCGCCTTCGCCGCTCGCTTCCCCCCCTTTCCCTAGGCCCGTCGCCGTTCCCCACACTTTCACCGGGTTCTCCTCCTCGAGCGCGCACAGCGAAAGTCAGCAACGTTGTGGTTGAGTCGAAGGGAAGCCCTTTCCCTTTGATCCCTTCCCCGCGGCGGGGGGGGCGGTCCCGGGGGTGAGGTCCCGGGGGGGTCCCGGAAGGGTCCCAGGGGAGGGGCCCAGGGGGGGCCCGGGGCAGATACGACTTTCCCCTCGGGCGGTTGAGCGGCCAAGAAAAGCCGCAGGACGCGGCAGAACTGCCCCAAGATGCCCCCAAGACGGCCCTCGAGGGCCCCGAACCGCCGAGGTATCGGTCCAAGTCACCAGCCTCCAGACGGCTCAAAAGGTATCCAAAACGCCCCAAGAGGCATCCAAGAGGACTTCCAAGAGGGTCCCAAGGGGCCGAATCAAAGATTTCCCGTATTCTTGTTGAAAGATTTTGGCATTCTCGCCTTGTCAGCTTCCCGACGCTCCAAGACAGGCCAAGAAGCCCCCAAGACCGCCCCAAGGTGGCCCAAGAGGCCTCCAAGAGAGCCCCAAAACGACCCAAGAGGGCCCCAAGACCGACCAAGAGGCCTCCAAGACAGCCGAAGAGGCCCCCAAGACGGCTCCAAGGAGGAGCCCAGACGGGGGACCCGAACGGACATTTCGAGCCCTCGGCCTGAGAAGCTCTCAGGAGGCCCCCAGAGGTCCCGAGGAAGTCCCCCAAGAAGCCCCAATAAGCCCCCAAGAGACCCCTAGGAAGCTCCAAAAGGCCCCCACGAGGCTTCCAAGCGGCCCCCAAGAGCTTCCCGAGAAGCCCCCAAACTACCCCCAAGAGGCTCCCGAGAGCGCTCGTCGTCGACGTCGTCTTCATGCAGGGTCGGCGTCACCGGCCGTAAGGCCTTCGCAATCCATACATGCGCATGCGCATACACGTATAGTTATACACACTTGTAAGATGTTCCCCCTTTCTTTCTTTCTCTCTCTCTCTCTCTCTCTCTCCCTCTCTGTCTCTCTCTCTCTATATATATATATATATATATAGATATAAATGCACATGCGCATCTCAATACATGCCTCTCTCTTTCCCACTCCGTCTCGCTCTCTCTCTCTCTCTCTCTATATATATATATATATATTACTCCCTCTCTATCACTCTCTCTACCACTCTCTATATATCACTCTCTCTCTCTCTCTTTGTTTCTCTCTCTCTCTCTCTTTATCCAAATCCCCTCGGCTGCAAGGACACCCCTGCCAACCGTGTGATATTGCCGAATGCTCAACGCTGTGAGCGTGTGCTTCGAAGTGGTCACACCACAATTTCCCCCCCGCCGAGGCCTTCTTCCTTCCAACAAGGGCCGCATGTGCCAAGTCTGGAGCATCCCAGACACCATGCCGTCATCTGCGCTGGTACACCCTATAGTCATCAACAACTGTTTCCAATCTGTGATGGATCCAAGAAGGCCAAGGACAACATACATCGCACCCAACAGTCTCAAACTACCCTCAGCGTTCCCAGGCGTTGTGTGGATGCAACGTTCAAATCCGTTGCCATGTTGTCAATACTATGTCGAACGTCTTCAACCCTCAATGCTGGATGTGCAATATTGGGAAGAGCAAGAGGCCCGACTCACGGAGTTCCCGGGCTCTCTTGAACGCTCGGGCATTATTGCATTACCTGCCCGAAACCTCGGAAACGTTGGTTCGGAATCCAAACTTCCAACGTGCCTGGCACCATGGGGCCGCCCTGTAGCTCTGGGTGGCCTCTTGGGCCGTCTTGGGGCTCCTCTGGGACGGCCCCAAAGGCTAACATTATATAACTGGAAGGCGTCGGTTGTGTTGCGGCAGAGGGCACCCGAGAGGACACACGTATCCGAGAGTAACCTGTGCTCCAGGCACGACGAGGACACGACATGTGACAACAGGATCACATGATTCGCCGCGGCGCCGAAGATCGAGCGACGCGGCCGAAGCCTCAACCAGACAGAACACGAAGGCACCCCCCTGACTTTGCAAGGTCGGCCTGCTAATCAGACCCGACCTTAACCGAGCAGACCGCGACCAGCCACGGGCTAGCGACGGAGGCGGGCGCCGACGTCCAGATCCGTGCCCGCCTGCTGCGCGAGCAGCTCCACGCTGTCCGCGTCGCCCCTGAGGGCGGGCCGCCCACGAGCCCCCGCGCGCGGGCTGGCGGGATTTGGGCCCGCGCCCGCGCGCTACCACGGCGACTCGTCCCAACGGAAGGACTCCTGCGCCTGTGGGTGCCGCTGTGAGTCGAGCAGCGGCCACGCGCGAGCTGGCACGGGTGTGCGCGGCCTGTGCGTTGCTGCGGCGACCCGTCCACCCAGCGCAGCGGTCCAGGCGCCGCGATGAGACCACAACGCGCATCTCCGCCGCGTGTCAAGCCCAAGGGGCCATCACGTGTCGATCGGCTCGGGCAGGCCGCGGGATATGTGGTCGAGTGCTCACTTCGCGTTGTTGTGAACAGCATGTTGGCTCCACAGCTGTGTCGATGCACGGCGTCGCTCGCGCCAAACACATGTGGGTGAAACCTGCGTGCGTGCAGCAAGGAGATGGGACTCACGCGGGGGGGCGTGGCAACCTTGCACAGTAGCCTGCGCGGGGCGCCAACGCGGCAGGTCCCGTGGATAAGAAGGCGCTTGCGCACATCCCTGCGCGGGCAGCTTACACGCGGATGCCTGGGCGGCTCGTGTTTCACGCTGCTGAGATGCTCAGATGCTCATGCTGGGACGCTGCTGAGAATCAGCTCACGTAGCTGATTTTCCCGGCGCCTCCCGGCGCCGGAGGCGACTGTGTATCGAGGGATGGGCCCCTCGGAGGGGCCGAAACCAGCTGTATGCAGCAAATTTCGTACCCCCCCCTTTCCCAATCCCCCCCTTTCGTCCGGCCCGAGATGCATATGTGGGGAGATGGTAAGAACACGTACCCGGGAAGTGCAAGCTGACAGGCCAGACAGATTGGAAGGCTAGCGGACATACAGTCTGCACGGCCAGGAAGCCCGCCGAACGCACCCGCGAGCCAGCATGTGGCCATGTCCGACGAGACCACCAGGCGACAGTGAGGACCATGGTTGACGCACCTGGGCTGCCCTCGGAAAGTCAAGGACACATCTGCTGGCGCCCCTACTGCCGAAGAAAACTACGACAACGGCGACCTCGACGGTGACGACGCCGGCGCCAACAGCGGCGGCTACGACGATGATGACGACGACGACGTTGGCGGCGGCGACGATGACGACGGCAGAGACGACGAACGCCGCGTTGACGACGACGAAAGCGGCGCAGACGCCGGCGACTTCCTGAGCTGTGTGATGCTGCTCGATGGCAGGAGTTTGAAGCTGTCACGTGTAGTCGCGGCCCCACGGACGGCTGTGCCCGCGGCTGCGTCAAGCTTCGCCCGGGGCCTTGGTCGCGGATTCGTTTGACTTGCCCGGACTCTGGATTCTTACCCGAGTGTGCACGCGATGCTCGCAACCCTCGGCTATACTCCATCCGCCAAGAGGGCCCTCAAGATGTCGCTATTCGAAGACACTGACACGTGTGCGTCTTGGCTCGGGCCGGGCGAAAGGGGGGGATGGCAAAGGGGGGGTTGAGAATCAGCTCACGTAGCTGATTTTCCCGGCGCCCCCCGGCGCCGGAGGCGGCCATGTATCGAGGCATGGGCCCGGCGGCGGGGCCGAAACCAGCTGCATGCAGCAGATTTCGTTTCCCCCCCCTTTTCCCTATTCCCCCCTTTCGCTCGGCCCGATTGGCATCGTTCGGACGTCCATTCTAGGGGGCCACGCGCGAACCCTACCCCTACCCCCCACGATTTCTGAGGGGGAGGGTGGGGTTTACTTCATCCGGGAGCTCCCGAGCAAAGTGAACCCCACCCTCCCCCTCAGAAATCGTGGGGGGTAGGGGTAGGGGGTAGGGTTCGCATGTGGACCCCTACATTCCTTGTGCATTGTTTAATGTCGGGCGCTCTGTATTCTCGAGCTGCTCCGAGGCGGGGCCCCCTTGCTTTGGCGCTGGCCTCGCCGAGAAGCACACGCACACGTCCGAGTGCTGCCCAGCCTGCTGTGTGCGCGTGCGTCTGCCTGCTCAATGCCGGAGAGGTGCAGAGAAGTCGTGCACGTCGGACGGTAGGAAGCTTTTCGTCGGAAAGATTACGGAGAGTTACAGAGAAGTCGTGCACGTCGGAGATGTACTGGGAGGTTTTCGTCGGAAAGATGAAGGAGGAGTAAGCCCCATGTGGGAGCTATTACGCCGGAGTGGGCCTCGGATTAAGCGGGATTGAGCCGGATTAAGCGGGATCAAGCGGGATTAAGAAGCGGGATCAAGCCGGATTAAGCCGGACCAGTGCAAAATCAGAATTTGACCTCCCAGGAGTTGCGGGGCCGCCCTCGGAATCCCTTGAGGGCCACCTGGCGCGATTTCGTAGATGCCGAAGGCTGGCCTGCGAAGCCAGAATTGCGACAATCCCCAAACTCTTACTTCTAGATATCTATACGCGTCGGTCGGAAGAAGTAGGTAAGAATATGAAGTAGGAGGGCGGATAAAGTAGATTGGGCTCGGGCCTGCCCAAATAACAACAAGCAACAGCCAGACCAGATCGACTCTTGAAGCAGGAAGGCGCTTGAAGTAGGTTGGATTCTGGGAGTCCAGAAGTACCTACTTTCAACGACCGATGGGTGTATCTCTCTCTCTATATATATGTATGTATGTATGTATGTATGTATGTATGCATGCATGCATGTATGCATGCATGTATGTATGTATGTATGTATGCATATATATATATATATATATATATATATATATATATATACGTACAATAAATACACACAAATAACATTATTTCCCATATTTCCATATGTTTTGGGGGGAGTTTCGTCTTCCCCCCCGCTTCCCACATTTTCCCATATTTCCCAGGGGATCGACGATGAATGATGTCTGTGTGTTTTCTTCCCTCCTGAGTCTCCAAGGGCGCCCGAACTCGCGAGCGCCCGAGGCGGCCCGGGAGGCCCCTCGGAGCGCCGCTGGACGGCCCCCGGATCCCCCCAGGCGGGGCCGCAGGTGCCCCCGAGGAAGCCCCACTTGGGAGCCCCACGGGGGCCATTCGCGGGGGCCTCGCGGACCATCCTCCTCCTCCTCCTCCTCCTCCTTTTCCTTTTCCTCCTCCTCCTCCTCCTCCTTTCCTTCTCCTTCTCCTCCTCCTCCTCCTCCTCCTTTCCGTCTCCTTCTCCTCCTCCTCCTCCTCCTCCTCCTCCTCTTTTCTCCTCTTTCTCTTCGTCCTCCTCCTCCGAGCCAGCCCGAGATGCCCCCCACCCGAGACCTCCACCCGCCCCCTGAGGGGCGCCGAGAGTACCCGAGAGGCCCACAGGAAGCGCTCTGGAGGCGCCCAGTGAGCCTCCAGGAAACCCCCTCACGTCCCTGCAGAAGCGTCCACTCCAAGAAACCCCAGAGGCTTTCAAAGAGACCCCATGCAGCCTTCAAGCGGCCGCTGTTCATCAAGCCAAGCACGGCGACGAATAGGGCCGAAGGCAACTAGATGAGGCGCACGCCATGCGGCTGGAGCAGGCACGCACTGAATCGGACTTCCATGCACATGCTGGACGCGACGGGCCAACCGCCGCAAGGGGCAGTTTTAGGGTTGGAGGGCTCGGAGGGGGCCCCACAGCAAAACTAGAATGCACCAGCCCATCGCCCGCTCCAACCTTAGACCAAATGCCCGACCTAAGCTTGTAGTGAAGTCGGCCCCCGTCGAACCCCGCCTGCGCGTTCATCCAGACAGAACGCATCGATCACAGCACGCGCGCTGGTTTCAAGCCCACCTCGCTCGCAAGGCCCACAACCCAGCGCGAGGACGCGGGAAGTGGTGCGACCGCGTCGCTCGTTAGCGGTTGTGCGGGCGCGATGTCAAATGGTAACTAACACGATGGGAAAGCAACAAGATAGAAACGCACGCACCGAAACATACCATTGAGTTTCAATGGTCTACTATTGCACCTCTCCTGTGGCACCCCCTACGAATCGACGCATGCGCGGGGTTGTCGGTATCTGGGTAACTGGGCAATTGGGGGCCCCGCGACTACCACTTCCGGCGCGGCTAACGTGGGCCGAGCTGAGACGGGGTCCTGGTCCGAACCTCGGGATACACAACAGATTGTTTCCACGCATTTCGCGCCGAAGGCTTGCGGGCATCGCGAGTCCCAAACTGACGCGCGCATGCACCGACTCGGGTGGTTCGATGGGGCGGTCTAACTCCGCTAACCGGCCTCCATGCAATGACCCGTCACCTCTGGTTGGCGCCCATGCAGCGTTAAGGATGTGGGGAAATGAAACAAGTAACTGGTCGTGCCCCTCCCCATATGCCTTCTACCGCAACACCCCGCCCCCCTATCGCTGCTTTACGGGGGGTCCGCTACAATGTCTGGCCCTGGAGGCCCTTTGTAAAATAGAATTGGTTTGCTCACCCAGAGGGCGACTACTCGTTATGAGCGACTCGGACACGCGCCCCCAGTGCCACGATATCTTTCAGATCGCGCGAGGTCCGCGCCCCCGAGGCCGCGACGCCTTGTCATTTACAAAAAACAGAGCGGCCAAATCGGCGACACCTTGAACAACGCGCCCGGTTCGCGCCCCCAAGGACACGACCCCGAGTAATTTACGCAGGATCCACGTTCATAAGGCCACCATGCTCTAGAAAATGCGGGGCATCCGCGCCCACAGAGCCCCGAAGGAAAAGAAAGGGATACGGGAATTTGCAGACAGAGTAGGGAGATGTGTAATTGAAATGTGTAAATTGACGTTCCGAATGGAACAACATCGATGCTGAAGCGCGCGGCAGCCTCGCGCCGAGCCGGCATGGCACTAGCAGCAACACCAAATTCGAGTCATACCATTCCATCCAGGAGGCGTGGACTAAACTAAGACAATGCACATCTGATGTGGAGTGGCGGGTTCGCCCAATTGAGCTTGCAAGGGCCATCCCTGGGGCCCTCGTGGGGGGCGCTAGAAAGCGAGAGGACAATTTGGTCGAACACGGGCTCTCCGCGGGGGGGCAGGAGGCAGGCAGCGCGCACTGGCCGGGACCAATGGCACGCATTGTTGGTAAGCTCCTCGGGAGCTTGCACCCTCCACCCCTCATGTCGCTCTTTCGACGTGAGGTGGAGGCATGTCCACGCCCACCGCCTGTGGAACCGTCCTCCCCGGACCCCAGCAGGCGGTGGATATGGATTGTACATTCCGGCCCCAGACGCAAACATATCCACTGCCTGCCGAGGCCCCCGAATATCGATCCCTCACGCAGTGGTTGTCAGGGCTGAACCTAAGCGGTGTTTTTCGTCTTCGTTATGTTGTCGTTTTCCCCCGCGCTTCTGTCTCGAATCCGCTGCTACCTCAGAGCGAAACCGAAACGAATAACGGCCCACGAAATCACCAAAAACACCGTTTAGGTCCAGCCCTGGTGGTTATGATTTAGAGTCCCGAAGCGGGGCGGTGACAGACCGTGCGGTGACCTCGAAATCCCCCAAGACCTCACCGCACGGTCCGTCACCGCACGGTCTTGGGACCCCAGAGGCCCCTGTTGCCCGAGACGTCCTCGGAGAACGCTCCGAGCCCCAAAACCGTGCGGGGACCCCGGATCCCCACCGACTCGCCGCACGGTGTGGCCACCGCCCCGATTGCGCATCCCCGATACGAGCACCTCCCCGCCTCGGACTGGAGGCCTGCTAGGGGGCCACATGCGAACCCTACCCCTAGGGGAGGGTGGGGCTCACTGCGTTCGGGAGCTCCGCCCGAAGTGAACCCCACCCTCCCCCTCAAAAATCGTAGGGGGTAGGGGTAGGGTTGCCCGCCCGGGATTTTGCCGGTCCAGTGCTCCTGGGATTCACCAGCCTCGAACTGATCCCTACCCCTGAGATTAAGTCGGGCGTGTCCCCCTACAGGGAGATTCGACGAAAGATAGAACATACCCCAAAATACCCCAAACAGGTCAAACATAAAAAAATACCACAAACATAAAAACAATACCCCCCAAAAAATACCCGCCCCTAAAAATAAAAAACACCTCCCCCAAAATAAAAATTACTCCCCAAAAATACCCCCCTAAACATTTAAAAATACCACCAACAAAAATACCCTCCCAAACATAAAACATACCCCAACAATGCCCCAAAAAGGCCAAAAATACCCACTAAACTGCCGGGGCGGCGGCGGCGGGCGGATGGGGGGCCGGCGGGCGGCACTGCGGCCCGTCGCCTGGCGCTGGCCAGCATCAGCGCCGTCCTGCCGCGGCAGCCCCGGGCGTGCGCGTCCGCGCCGGCCTCCCCGGCGGCGCCCCGCTCGCCGAAGGGGGGGGGGACAGGAGCGCGGGGGGCCGCTGGGGGCCTTCTGGAGGGGGCAGGGGGGAGGGGGGCAGAAGGTCAGGGGGGAGGAAGGGGCAGGGGGAAGGGGGCAGGCGGTCAGGGGGAGGAAGGGGCAGGGGGGAAGGGGGCAGGAGATTAGGGGGGGGGAGGAGGCAGGGGGGAAGGGGGCAGGGGGCTAAGGGGGGGGGGAAGATCCTCGTCTTTCTCCCCCCCCCCTCTCCCCGCCCTCGTGCTCGTGCGTGTGCCCCAGGGGAAGAGGGCCCTCTTCCCCTTCCTGCTCCTCCTGCTCCTCCTCCGCCTCCTCCTGATCCTGCTCCTCCGCCTTTTGGGTCATCCCCGCAGGAGGCGCGGACGGCGTCTGGGCTTCTGCGGGGGGGCGGGGGGAGGGGGCAGCGGAAGGAAACAGAAGATCCTCAGGCCAAGGTGTGGGCAGAGTTGGGCGGAGCTGAAGCGGCCAGTCGCCTCCCCCCTCCTCCCCTCCTCCTCACCCTCCTCATCTCCGAGGGAAGTAAAAGTGTTAGGGCTTTGTTTTTTTTGTTGGGCGGGGGGGGCCGGGGAGAACCCATGTGGGAGCTAATTATAGGGTCATCTACTAGAGTTGAAGCAGCTGCCATGTTGGAGTACGCAAACGCACTCCCAAAGCTGCCGTTCTGGCATCCTCGGAGCAAGCCGCGTAGTCCCAAACATAGACAGCCGAACGCTTCAATTCACCACCGTGCCCCCTGGCACGTTGAGGCGTGGGAGAATGCCAAGGTCTGCCTGGTGTTATTTTCAAGCATTGAATTCTAATAAAGGGCCGTCCCCCCTCTCGACGCAGACTCTTGCGGGCACCGCCCGTTTCCGAAGCTACTTCCTAGATGCTGGCTCGAGGATGGTGCACTTCTCGCATGGCAGCTAATGGCGAATTCCCCATTCCACGCGTGCCCACTCGAATGGTGCACTTCTGGCATGGCAGCTAATGCCTGATGCCCTATTCCATGCGTGCCCGCTCAAGGACGGTGCACTTCCCGCATGGCAGCTAATGCCTGACCCGCCTTCCACGCGTGCCCGCTCGAGGATGGTGCACTTCCCGCGTGCCAACTGATGCCTGAACCCTCATTTCATCCGCGCCCGCTCCAAGATTGCGCACTTCTCGCATGGCTGCTACCTCCGGGACCCCTTATCACAGGCGCACCCGCTAGATGATCGTGCACGTCGCGCATTCCCAGGCGCTGCTCCCAAGCGCTCCAGGGCCTCCTAAACCACGATCCCCCGTTGAAAATGATGAGTCCCGAGCTTCCATGACGGCCCACGCGAAAAACTAAGAACACCAAGATGGCCCAATATGCCTCGAAGGCGGCCCAAGATGGCCCCGCAGGCGGCCGAATATTGCTTGAAGACTACCCAGGATGCCTCAAAGAGGGCCACGGGGGTCACAAGAGGACCTCCAACAGAGTCCGAAGAAGCCAAAATCACTGATTTCCCTTACGTGTTTGAATGGTTTTCGGGATCTCGCCTTTTCGGGCTGCCGTCAGCTCAACACGGTCCAAGAGGACTGCACGATTGCCCAAGAGGCGTTCAAGAAAGCCCCAAGACGGCCCAAGAGGGCCAAAGAGGCACCCAAGATGCTCTCAGGTCCTAAGATGCACTTAGGTCCCAAGACGGCGCCAAGGCGGCCTCACGACGGCCTCCAGACAGCACCATACGGCCAAGGGGGCCCCAAGACGGCCCAGCAGAAATCCCAAGCCGAAGTAACAGGGTTCAAAGGCGTTCCAAGAGGGCCCAAAGGGACCCCTAAGACTGCTTCACGGGAGGCCAAGACAGCCCTGAGGCGGCCTAAACGAGTGTCATTTCCATCATCCTTGTCCGCATCCTGATATCACCATGACGATGGCCATCATCATCACCGTCACCGCCACCATCACCACCACCACCATCAGCATCAGCATCAGCATCAGCAGCAGCATCAGCAGCAGCATCAGCATCAGCATCAGCAGCATCAGCATCAGCATCAGCATCAGCATCAGCATCAGCATGATTGTCATCATCATCATCAGCATCAGCATCAGCATCATCATCACCACCACCACCACCATCATCATCATCATCATCATCATCATCATCATCATCATCATCATCATCATCAGCATCAGCATCAGCATCAGCATCAGCATCAGCATCATCAGCATCATCATCATCATCATCATCATCATCATCATCATCATCATCATCATCATCATCATCATCATCATCATCATCATCATCATCATCATCATCATCATCATCATCCGTAGCCATTTTGGCTCAAGCTGTTTCTCCATTTCTCTCGCAGGCGCCCACGTGCAGCGGTCGGCGGCGCGCGATTGGGAGATGAGAAATGGCGACGGGGGGCTGCCCGCTGGCGCGAGGGCGGGGCAGCCCATCAGGCGTGGCAGCGCGCTGCGCAGGCAGGAGGAGGACGAGGTTGGCGCTTCGGCGGCCCGCCGACGGGCGCGGGCGCGGCGCCTCCTAGCTGCCGTGGCGGCGGTCGGCAAGGCGGGCAGCGGCGGTCCAGGCTCCGGGCAGGACCGTGAGGCTGCTGCGCGCCCTGCCTTGCGCCTGGCCGCCTCGGGATGCCGTGTCCCAGGCGCGGCGCGGCGGCGGCGGAACGCCGCGTGGCATGCGCAGCTGCCACACACACGTGGGAAAAAACACACGGGTGGGAAAAAAACACACACAAAAAACACGTGTGTGTGTGTTTTGTTTTTCCCCACGTGTGTGTGTGTGTGTGTGTGTGTGTGTGTGTGTGTGTGTGTGTGTGTGTGTGTGTGTGTGTGTGTGTGTGTGTGTGTGTGTGTGTGTGTTTTTCCCACGTGTGTGTTCTTTGTGTTTTTTTTCCCACGTGTGTGTTTCTTCCCACGAGGATCTCGACGACGACGTGGATGGGGAGTGCGGGCCCGAGGAGGAGGAGGAGGAGGAGGTGGAGCTGCACGGCGCCGCAGGCGATGCAGCGGACGGGCTCGACGACGACTCCAGCGACGTCGACGGAGAGGAGCTCGACGACGGGATCGACGACGCCCTCGGCGACGTCGGCAACGAGACGCTCGAGGAGCCCGCTGCGTACCTGCGGCAGGCGGCCCCAGCATCGAATCGATAAGCGGGATCGGTTCGACCGGAGCATCGAATCGGCAGAAATCGGCAAAAGCCGGCAGCCAAATCGAAATCGGCTGAGGTCGGCAGGTCCGAGCCGGATCGGGTCGGGAACCGGACCGCGTCAAGCCAGATCGGAATCGAAATCGGGACCCCCCCTGGGGGGGTTTGGGTTCCCGGGGCTTTTGGAAAACCCCCCCCTGGGGGGGGGTTGGGGTCCCGGGGCTTTTGGACCCCCCCCCCCTGAGGGGGGTTTGGGTTCCCGGGGCTTTTGGACCCCCCCCCCTGGGGGGGGGTTTGCTTCCCGGGGCTTTTGGAAAACCCCCTCCTTGGGGGGGGTTGGGTTCCCGGGGCTTTTGGAAAACCCCCCCTGGGGGGGGGTTGGGGTCCCGGACCTTTTGGACCCCCCCTGGGGGGGGTTTGAGGTCCCGGGGCTTGTGGACCCCCCCCCTGGGGGGGGGGGTGGGGTCCGGGGGCTTTTGGACCCCCCCCCTGGGGAGGGTTTGGGGTCCCGGGGCTTTTGATGAAACCCCCCCCTGCGGGGGGGTTGGGGTCCCGGGGCTTTTGGAAAACGTCCACCTGGGAAGGGGTTGGGGTCCCGGGGCTTTTGGACCCCCCCCCATGGGGGGGGTTTGGGGTCCCGGGGCTTTTGGAAAACCTCCCCCTGGGGGGGGTTGGGGTCCCGGGGCTTTTGGAAAACTCTCCCTGGGGGGGGGGGGGGTCCTGGGGCTTTTGGACCCCCCCCCTGAGGGGGGTTGGTGTTTTCGGACTCCCCCCTGGGGGTTCCTCCTCCCTCCTCCTCCTCCTCCTCCCCTCGGGGGCCAGAGCCGGAGCGAAGCCGGATCGGCAAAAGCCGGCAGGAATCGGCTGACGCATCGAATCGGCAGAAGCCGGATCGGGCGAACTCGAAATCGGAATCGCGAATCGGAATCCCGGAATCGAGTCGGTTCGAAATCGGAATCGCGGAAATCGATTCGAATCGAACCAGCGGAATCGGAATGACCCATGCTGCGGTGGGTCAGCACCCCCACGGACGCCCTCAGGGACCTGCTGGAGGCGCGAGCGGGCACAGGCGGGTCGCCGACGCCGTTTGCGCGCAGGCGAGCCCAGATCACGGCCGTCGGTCGACGACGAGGTGCTGCTGGCGGGAATGGGATTCGTCTTGCAAGGGCGTGTGGAGATCGGCCCTTGCTCGGAGCCGAGTGCGGCCAGCCCAACAGCGCCGCGCGGCTCCGCGGATATGGAGCAGCACATGCAGGCCATCAGGGATGAGTGCGGCGATAGCAGCGGCCGAGGCTTCTTGGCTGCGGGCGATCCCTTGGAGGCGGCGGCAGCCACTCGGATGGCCCTCGTCGCGGCCAGCTCTCTCCTCGGGGTCCCACTCGAGACACCCAAGGCAGAGGCCGCGTAGCGGGCCAGGGATCTCGCCGTTTCTTTCTTTCTTTCTGCTGGGCCTGCCTTCAGCTCCGTTTTCAATCTTCGGCACCCTGCGGCTCGGGACCCAGCGGTCCGACGAGTGCTGTGTCGCATCTGCTCGTGTCGCAGGCGGGTCCGAGGATCACGAATGCCTGCGCCGAGCTGCTGCCTATGGGAGGGAGGGACCCCGCGGCGTAGGCTGTACCCCGCGGGGCTCGGCACTCGCCAGGGTTCACTCCCTCCCGCCCCTCTTGGGCAGGATCTTGCGCTTGGCGCCGTCCGTCGGCTCGCTGCAGAGTGGGCGCAGCGACGCGTCGGCGGGCCCTGTCGTGCTTGCATGGTCGTCCGATGTTCGGTGCAAGCTTTCTGTCTGGCGCCTGGCGCCGTCTGATTCCAATGTAGCTGCTGGTGCGCGTGTGCGCGACGGCGACGCCTTCCCGTCAGTCGTGACGTGGAGGGCGAACCAGGAGCGTAGGTCCGCCCAGGCTCGGGATCGTTCTCCGCTGACCTGAGCCGCAACCACGTCAGTTCTTCGGGCCTGGGCCAGGACGGGGTTGCTTCTCAGGTGCGGTGTGCAGCTTGCTGCGTACTAGCCCGCTGCAGCCGTAGCGTTGCTAGCTGCCGCGCGTGCTGAGTCGCTCTGACTGCTGCGAGCCGTCGATCGCTTGCCTCGGCTGAGGCGGTTGATTTCTCTCGGCAGTCGGGCGAATCTGCGAGGGTGCGCCGAGGCGCACGAGACCAAGCGTTGCTTCCGCAGGGCCATAGGGAAACGCCTCGGTCCGAGGGACAGTACGAGCTGAGAGCTCCTGACCTCTTTAGACGCGTGGAACCTCATCATCATCATCAGCAGCAGCAACATCATCATCATCATCATCATCATCATCATCATCATCATCATCATCATCATCATCATCATCATCATCATCAGCATCATCATCATAATCATCATCATCATCATCAGCATCATAATCATCATCGTCATCATCACCATCATCATCATCATCGTCATCAGCATCAGCATCAGCATCATCATCGTCGTCATCGGCCTTATCATTATCATCGTCATCGACGACGTCGTCATCATGAGCATAAGCATCAGCATCAGCATCAGCGTCGTCGTCATCACCATCAGCATCAACATCAGCATCAGCATCAACATCAACACCACCACACCAACATGAACAGCACCAACATCACCATCACCGCCAACGTCATCCTCCTCTTCCTCCTCCTCCTCATCATCATCATCATCATCAACGGCAGCATGTTAAGTGACATCAGCATCATCGTTGTCATCATCATAGTCATCATCATCATCATCATCATCATCATCATCATCATCATAAACATAACCAGCACCACCATCAGCATCGTCATCATCGTTGTCGTCGTAATCATCATCATCATCATCATCATCATCATCATCATCATCATCATCATCATCATCATGAGCATCGTCATCGCCATCATCATAAACCTCCTGATCAGCATCACCATCATCATCATCATCATCATAAGGAAAACCATCATAATCATCGTCATCATCATCGTCATCAATATCATGATCATCATCACAGATCATCATCATCGCCATCGTCCCCATCATCATCACTATCATCATCACTTTCACGGCGGCTCTCCCAAGCCTGGAAGCACAACATGTCACACCTGACGGCCTCCCGTGCCCCGCGAACACATGCAACTCAGAATGCTGGGCTGGCACAGTAGCCGGAAACTCCGCAAACAACTGCATACACACATCCATGGTATCATGCACACCACGCACCAAACCACACACCAATGCACAAACACACACAAACACATTTCCACACACACATTCACACACACACGCGCACACACGTACGTACACGAACTCACGCATACCACACACACTAGGCGCTGGCGGTAAACCGTCAATCTTGGAACCGCTGGGAGATACGTAAAGATTTGAAAGGGGGAGGGGATCCTCCTTCGCCTCCAACCTCCACCTTCTCGAGAGAGAGGAAGGGGAGGAGCGCAGAGGGCTTTTGAACTCTTGTGGGCAGGGCGGTAGGGGACTCCTCCCCTCCTCATCTTCAAGGGGGGCTGGAGGCAAGGAGCGCTTGATAGACTTGTGAATTCCGGACTGGTGGGGGAGAACGATATCCTCTCCCTCCTCAGACGCTTCCGCGGGACGCAACCAGTCGGAAGCTCCACACAGGGGGAAACACGGCTGGAGCACGACCTCCTTCTCCTCCCCCTCCGGCTCCACCGCGCGCGAACGCCTGAGTGGTGAGGAGAGGAAGAAGGGACGAGCAGGGAGGTCATCGCGACTGATACGGCGTGGCATCCAGTGGCGGGCGAACGCCTCCTGCGAACACGTGAGGGGAAATAGGAGGAACACGAGTGGGGCCTGTGAGGAGGAGCAGGGCAGAAACGTGACAGGGAGGAAAAGAGGACGAACGAAAATAATAAAAAAATACAAGGGAAGGACACGTAATGTGTAACGTCTCTCATGCGTGGATGGGGACGGCGAGTGACCGGGGAGGAGCAGTATGAGGGAAGGAGCAGGACGTAGCAGAGGGCAGGCATTGGATTCTGAGAGGGTAGCGGGCAGCTGGGGTGATGGACGTCCTCGTCGGGGAAATGGCGGGGGGAGGACAGGGGGTGTTGGGGGGAGGAAAATGGGGGAAGACACAAACCTCGAAGGGTCTGCAATGCCCCTCCTCCATCGGGAGTTGCTTCTTCCCCCTCGGGCTTCTTGACGGACTGGGAGCCCAAGAGTCGCTCATCCCCAGCCCAAGGAACCCGCAGCGGCCCTATGTCTCAGCGTCCTGGCTTTAAATCGGGCGTGTCCCCCTACAGGGGGATTTTTGACGAAACATTAAAAATACCCCAAACATGATAAAACAATAATCCAACACAGTGTGGGGACTATGTTTGGAATATTCGTTTGCCTTTTTGGAATTTATTGTGGGGTATTTCTTTAGTTTTCGTCAAAAATCCCCCTGTAGGGGTCACGCCCGACATAAGTTAATCCTGGCTGCACCCTTCCCACGGCGACGAGACTCGTGCACAGCCGCTGCCCCTGGCCAGGCGCACCCCCAGCGCGCGCGCGCCGCATCCCTGGCGAGGCCCAGGGTGGGCCTCGCCAAGGATGCGCTGAGCTCCTGTCGCGCGGCGCCCCTCCTCCTCCTCCTCCTCCTCCTCCTCCTCCTCCTCTCCTCCTCCTCCTCCTTCCTCCTCCTCCTCCTCCTCTTCCTCCTCCTCCTCCTCCTCTTCCTCCTCCTCCTCTTCCTCCTCCTCCTCCTCTTGGAGATGGGTACCAGGCACGGGGAATGTGCATTTGGTTGAAAGGCGGGGCCATGCGGTCCGTAAGTCCCTTTGGACCTTGTGTCCGCTCACCCCGGGGGTACAAACCCAGTTGCACATGCCATCCGATTCGGCAGGGGTGACGGTCGGGAAGTACTGCGCGGTGACGCGGTGAACCGGCTGTCCCCCTACGCGCCACGCCGTCTCGGTTGGGCAGCGAGTCGCTGAGCGACGAGGTATGTGCCTTTCCCCTGACAGTCGGTGCTGGCGCCTGCGGGCCCCTTCCTCCTGTCTGGGAGGCCGAGGTGACGGTTGAGCCTCGCTCGCCGTTCACTTCTTGGATCTACGACACTCATGACACTCCTCCTCCTCTTCCTCCTCCTCCTCTTCCTCCTCCTCCTCCTCCTCCTCCTCCTCCTCCTCCTCCTTCTCCTCCTCCTCCTCCCCCTCCCCCTCGTCCCCCTCCCCCTCCTCCTCCTCCCCCCCTGAGCTTCAGCGGGAGCGGCGGCGGCACGGCGGCAAGGAACTCTCTCAGGGCACACGGCCGCCTGCAGTGGGCTCACGGCCGCCTCCGGTGAGCGCACCGCCGCCACCCCGTATGAAGGATGAGCAAAAACGCCCCTACCCTGGGTTACAAGTGCGTGGTCTGTAAACCTCCTGCGAGCTCCCGAAGGCCAGAGAACCCCCAGCAAGCCGCGCGACACGCGCGATACGCAGGGCTTACCCTGTCAGCCCACAGGAGGTTCAGCGCACAGCGCCTCGTAAACCAGGGTAGGGGCGTTTTTTGAGCCCTTGACCGTCGCAAGCATGCCGTCGCAGGCATTTGGCTGAACAGCGCTGCGGCGGGAGCGCAAAACGTCCTTGCACTAGAAAGCTGACGCAACTCTCCCTCGAAATATTTGAGGCTGCAGAGCACGGGGTGGGAGGGTCGCGCCGCATCGCCCGTGCCGGCGATGCATCGGCGCCGTCGGCGTGGAGAAATTCGGGCTCCACATCGAGCCGCGAAGCCGATGCGCATGCGATGCGGCGCGATCCCCCGACCCCATCCACTCCGACACCACAATGTTTAGCATGGGGTAAACGGGTCCTGAGGGAGAAGGGTACTGGACCCCAGGGCCTCCCCCCAGGACAAACGTTCCGTCCGGAGTCGCTTTCTGACACTCCCAGGGCCCGTGGAGGGCCCCGAGAGCCCGAAACCGGCGAAAAACCTCAGGACCCCCGTTTGCCTCAGGGCCCGTTCCCCCCATGGCGAGATGTCTCTCCTCTCAACTCCAGAGCTATGTGGGGCGTGTCCCCCTACAGGAGGATTTTCGACGAAAGACTTAAAATATACTGAAATTACCCCAAAAAGGTAAGAAAGTACTCCAACAATAGTCCCCCGAACATTTTTGGTTAATTTGTTTTATTATTTTGAGGTTTTTCTTGTTTTCCGTCGAAAATCCCCGTGTACGGGGACAGGCCCGACTGAATGGGGCCCTGGGACACACAAATAAATAAACACAAATAACAGGATTCCCAAGAGTTTCACATATTCCGTGGGTTTGTGTCTTCCCCCCCACTTCCCATATTTTCTTCTATTTTCTGGGATATCGACGATTCATGTCTGTGTGTTTCTTTACCTCCTGACCGACTTACCTCCAGGGACGGAGCGGCGGCGGCGCCCCCCGCGCGCGCGCCCGCAGCAGGAGGCCGAGCGCACGGACGCTGCCGGCCCACAGCAGGGGCGTCTCGCCCTGGTCGTCCTGCCGAGGCCGATCCGGGCGCGCGCCGTTCCGGGCCGCACGTGGTCGTCGTCGTCGTCGTCGTCGCCGTCGTCGTCGTCGTCGTCGCCGCCGTCGTCGTCGTCGCCGCCGCCGTCGTCGTCGTCGTCGTCGTCGTCGTCGTCGTCGTCGTCGTCGTCGTCGTCGTCGTCGTCGTCGTCGTCGTCGTCGTCGTCGTCGTCGTCGTCGTCGTCGTCGTCGTCGTGGTCGTCGTCGTCGTCGTCGTCGTCGTTCGTTGTCACGCGGCATCTTTGTTGTTGTCCGCGTCGGCGGCGGCGTCGGCGGCGTCGGCGGCGGCGTCGCCAACGCCGCAGTCGCCAATTCAGCGTCGTCGTCGCCAAACGAACACAACGTCGTATCCTTCATCGCCGAGGACGTCGATGTCGTCCTCGTCAGCGGCGTCGTTGTCGCCAGCGTCGTCGTGTTCGTCGGGTGCGACAGCCTGAGGGCCGCGGTGGATCCCTTCGGCCGTCCAAGGCCGGCCAGGCAGTCACCCTGGGGCTGGCCGCGCTTCCAGATCGCAACGGCGGGCGCGGCCACGGGGGCGGATTTTTGGGATCCGCCGACTTTGGAGATGTGTCCGTCACGGCTTCGGGGATCTTCTGACCTGGGTCAATCCAGACCCGGGTCAGCAGGAAACCAAAAAACTGCAATGCAGGAGAAACAAACTGCAATGCAGGTCTTCGCAAGCCCGGGTCAGCCAATAGGCGCGGCCGCCTCGCGGCCACGAGCGGCTCGCTATCCCGGGTCAGCCAGAGGGGTTCTCCGCAGATCCTGCAGGATCCGGTGCCCTGGCTGACCCCCGTCTGCATTGACCCCCGTCCCAAGGCTCCCGACGGCTCCGGGTAATGTACCTTCCGGCTCCTTGGAGGCGCGAAGTTTCCATGCTCGACGGCGTACCCAAGGGGGGAATGCAGAGGGAGCGGGCCTCCTCAGAGAGCTCGGAAGGCCTCGTCTCGGACCGTTTGGGAAGTTACTTGAGCACTCCCCGAACACGAAAAAATCTGGGGGGAAACTCGAAAGTATCGATACCGCTACCGCCCCGACCTGTCCCTTAGTGCGTTCTTACTAAAATCTCAGTGCGAATCTACCAGTAGCGACGAAGGCCTCGCGAGCCCCGAAAAAGGGAACAACGAGGCAAGCGTAGCGGCATTCCTCCTCTGATTGTTATTCGTTCTTTCTTTTTTTGCGAGGGATTCCGAGAAACCCCGCCGCTTTCTGAGAAGGCCGGGACCCTCTCACCTGCCCCCTGGGCTCGTCGCTGCGGGGTCCTCGGGCGCACGCCTTCGAACAGGCGGATCTGGGTGAATCCGTGGCATGGATCAATAGGGGCCAGAGACCTCTGCTGACGACATACCGGAACACCCAAATTTCGGGTTTGGAAAGTTTACGGGTTCCATATTTGGTTTTCCAACATTCCTGGACGCCCCCCCCTCCCGGGGAATGGCAGGCAAATCGGGGTTTTCGGGTTGGGTTGGGGTGGTTTGGTGGGTGGTGGTCTTCACAAACTTGTCACGAGAGGAAGTGAGCGACGACAGTACACGGGTCACACACAAAATTGCATACCAAACCCTGGTCCTGGGAGCCGTGCTCAGTGCTACGCTTGCCAGGCGGACTGGGAGAGCGGGATCACGGCTCTCACAAACCAAAGAGGTCTTCCCAAAACAAATGTTGCGGAATCAGACCGCCGGGTCTTCCCTACCAAAACCCGGGTCTTCCCAAACCAAGCGGGTCTTCCCAAACCAACGCCCCCGGGTCTCCCCAAACCAACCGGGCCTTCCCAAACCAACGGGCCGGGTCTTCCCAAACCAACCCCCGGTCTTCCCAAACCAACTGGGTTTTCCCAAACCAATTTCCCGGGTCTTCCCAAACCAGTAGGTTTCCTCAAAGCATTCTGGGCATTGTGCAACTGAGGGTGTTTTCAAATCGTTATAGAACCCAGAGGGTAGGCGCACGTCAGGGTCCGCCCGCCCGACCCCACCCGACCCGCCCGTTAGGGTCCGCCCGCCCGACCCGACCCGACCCGTCCGCTAAGGTGCTCGCGTGTCAACTCGATCGTGCACCACACTTTCATGTCCCGCCCGCCCGACCCGACCCGCTTGTTTGGGCCCGCCCGCCCGACCCGACCCGACCCGCTCGTTGGGGCCCGCTCGCCCGACCCGACCCGACCCGACCCGACCCGACCGTTGGGGCATTCGCGCGCGAACTCGATCATGCACCACGCATCAACGCCCCGCCCGCCCGACCCGACCCACCCGTTAGGGCCCGCCCGCCCGGCCCGACCTGACCCGCCCGATGCCCCCCCCCCCCCGACCCGACCCGACCCGACCCGCCCGTTAGGGCACTCGCGTTAATGTCCCGCCCGCCCGACCCGACCCGCCCGTTAGGGCCCGCCCGCCCGACCCGACCCGACCCGCCCGCCAGGGTCCGCCCGCCCGACCAGACCCGGACCAGCCCGCCGGTAGGGCTCTCGCGCGTCAAGTTGACCATGCACAACCGCACTTTAATGTCTCGCCCGCCCGACCCGACCCGCCCGTCAAGGCCCGCCCGCCCGACCCGACCCGACCCGCCCGTCAAGGTCCGCTCGCCCGACCCGACCCGACCCGCCCGCTAGGGTTCTCGCGTGTCAACTCGACCATGCGCCGCATTTTCATGCCCCGCCCGCCCGACCCGACCCGCTCGCGGATCCGCCCGCCCGACCCAACCCGACCCGCTTGTTAGGGTCCGCCCGCCCAACCCGACCCGACCCGCCCGTTGGGGCACCCGCGCTCGAACTCGACCGCGCACCACATTTCAACGTTCCGCCGCCCGACCCGACCCGCCCATTAAGGCCCGCCCGCCCGACCCGGCCCGACCCGCCCGTTCGGGTTCTCGCGCGTGAACTTGGTTCTCGCATGTTGAACAGGTGGCTCCTGCGTCGCCCCCATAGTTCAAGCGTGGCTTGTTTGAAGTTCAAGTGTGATCCAAGTGTGGTCCAAGTGCAGCGCAAGTGCAAGTGATCCACCGGTAGATCAGGTTTAGCTGAAGCGCGGTACCTGTGCAGTTCTGGCAGTTCAAGTGTTGCTCAAGTCTAGTTCAAGTGTAGCCCAAGTCTGCTGCTGTTCACGTTAGTTCAATTGTGGTTCAAGGAGTTGTTCGGGTTCGGTTCAAGGCTGGCTCAGGTGTAGTCATTGTAGTTCGGGGTGTATCGCATGTGTATGTTAGGTGTTGCTCAAGTACAGGTCATATGTAGATCAAGTGTAGTGTAAATGAGGTTCCAGCTATGCAGGTGTAGTTCGAATGTGGACCAGGCGTAGCCGTTGCAGCTCATGTGTAGGTCAGATGTAGCACAGATGCGGTTCAAGTGGCGCTGAGGTGTAGTTCAAGTGTCGTTCAAGTGTGGTTCAGGGATAGCTCAGGTCTGGTTCAAGCGCGGTTCTGGCGTAGTCCTTGTTGTTCAAGTGTAGTTCAAGTCGAGTTCGACTCTTTTTCGCGTGCAGCTCGTGGTGTAAGTGTAGTTTCGGTGTTGACAATGCAGTTCAAGTGGAGATCCAGTGTAGTTCGGGTGCAATGCAGGTGTAGGTCAAAAGTGATTCAGGCATGGTACATATGTATTTCTGGCGCGGCTCACGCACAGTCAAGGCGCAGCATGAGCCAGTTCCTGGAATTGGGCTAGTGCGTGTCAAGTGCAAACCAAGTATAGTGCATGCGAAATTCCGGTTTACTTCAAGCGCGGCTCAGTCGCGGCCCAGGCACTTCGCCCTCTCGGCGCGCCGCAGCACGGCTCAGCACTCGCGGCGCGGGCGTCGCCCAGGCACATTGCGAGAACAATGCAGGCGTTAGCCGTGCGTGGCTCGAGCAACCGGCGTGCACTTCGCACGCGGCGGCGCCGCTCCGCCCGCGGGAAGGCACGAGCGCCCGAGAGCGGCCGGGCGGTGGACAAGCCGCCAGCTCGGGGCCGCGCGTCGCCTGGCAAGCCCAGCGCAGACGCGTCGCACCGTTGCGGCCGACGGCCGCGCGACGGACAGTCTGGCCCGCGCATCTTTCGGGTGCAACAGAGGATGAGTTCGCGTGCGACGCAAGTGCGCGCGTTCGAGCTGTCCCCCCCCGATCGCGCGCGCGATGGCGGCGCGGCGTCGCTGATGCCCGAGCGTCGCCCAGCCCCTGCGCCGCGCGAGCGGGCGGCCACGCGAAATGCTGCGCGCGCGAAGCTGGCGGCGGCGCAGCAGCTCGCCCTGCTCGGGCAGCGCGCAAGCGCCCTGCCGACCGTGGCGGCGCGCAGATTGCCGCGCGCCCTGTAGCGATAGCAACGCGGCCAACAAACCTGGGGGGCACGTTGAAGGACATGGGCCAGGGACTGCATGAAATAATCGCGCACGCGAGCCACGCGCCAACAACGCACCCCCCCCAGACCAACCCGTTTCACGCACTTGGTGCCCTCCTGGTCCATGCGCGGCCCCATCTCCGACCTGCGCTAGATTGCATGCGCGGGCGTGGCTCGGGCGCGCCCCGTGCGTCGCGAGCCGACTGGGAACGCAGCGCAAATCGCGGCGCGCGCGCGGTCCGCCCATGGCCCAGAGCGCCCCCCGCCCGCGGCAAAGTCGTTCAGGCGTGGGTATTGTAGTCCAAGTTCATGTCAAGTGTAATTCAAGTTTAGCCCAAGTGTAGCTCAAATCGGATGTACGCCAGGCGCGGCTTGAATGTAGTTCAGGTGTGCTGCAAGTGTGGCGCAGGGTAGTCATTGCAGTTCACGTTTAGTCCAAGTCAGTAGAGTACAGTTCATGTGTAATTCAAGTGGGGGGATCACCTGTAGCTCAAGTGTGGTGCAAATGCTCTTCGGGTGTAATGCAAGCGCGGCTCAGGCGTACCCCATGTAGTTCAAGCATGCACTAAAAGTAGTTCAAGTGTGGCTCGATAGTGTTTCACGTGTAGTTCAAGCGTGGCTCAGGTGTCTCACGAGTAGATAAAGTGCGGCCCAGGCGAGACCCTTGAACTTCAAATAT